ACCTTAACTTTATTTGTCTGGATAACCCAGCCTATTTAAGGAGATTGCTCTGGTTTCACAAATTAGCCTAGTAACTCAGAATAGTCAGAATATTCATTACAATAATCCTAACAACTCGTCAGTTCACGCTCACAGGGTGATAAAACAATTTGGGACTAATTTTGAATTTGGAAAAATACACACAAATATATTACTAAAAAACAACATTTAAAACTATGCAACATATTTAAAGTTAAATAAATTTAGGGTAGACTTTCATATCTGTTGTCAAAAACAACCGAATGAAAATATAGTAGGCCTACTTTCGTATTATCCGGAGGCCACTTATTTTAGACAGATTTTTTTACCGGAGACCAATTGGAGTCTAACAAAACTATTTAGAAGTAGACTCCTGACCAGAAGAACTAAAATAAAGATGTATAGAGTAATAATACAACCAGTTCTACTATATGGAGCAGAAGTCTGGACGCTTAATGAAGCAAAATAAAAAGAAATTAATAGTTTTTGAAAATAAAATCTTACATAGAGTGTTTGGACCTATTAATGAAATGGTGAATGGCGGATAAGGAAGAACCAAGAATTAAGAGAACTTTATAATGACCCAGATATTATAGCAATGGTAAAGAGCAGAAGATTACGATGGCTGGGACACGTATATAGAAGAGATGTTAACAGTATGATTAAAAGGGTATGGATGGGGCAACCAGAAGGACGACGGCCGCTGGGACGGCCCAGATTAAGATGGAATGACCAAGTGAGGCAGGACCTCAGGAGGTTAGGAGCAAGTTTGGAGGCAGCAGAGGACAGGCAGCAGTGGAGGCACATTGTTGGCGAGGCCAAAAATCACTTGGGATTTATGTGGCCACAGAAGTAAGTAAGACCAAAAATAACTACATAATGGGAAAGATCATACTTTAAAAGTGACTTACTGTCCAAATTCGACATGATTACAAATAGCGGCCTTTAAGTTCTACCTCCCAGAAGGCAGCGATGTCGGCAAGGATTGAGTTGAATGCGTCGCCGATGCTATACTCCGCCAAGTAGGTAAGCGCGCTGCCGCAGTTGATTGATTGATTCTGTAGGGGGGGACCTTGTCCTGTTGCACGTCAGCCACTGATGGGTTTTTTGCGCTCCCCACATGGTACTTCAGAGTCCATCAAACCTGAGTTGCTTAATGAACTTCAGCATCCTGTCTATGAGCTCCTCCTGAGGAAGGTGTCTGCCCTTGTCATTGCACCAAGAGTACAACAACACCAGAGTGGGGGGGGGGGGGGGGCTGTCCCTTACCTCGTTCAGAGCTGTGCAGTCGTAGGGTAGGTGATCAGCAGTCTCCACATTTTTCCCACATTTTCTACACGCAGTGTCTCCATTGTGGATCCTCAAGCAATGCAGGTGGAATTTCAGGTAGCCATGTCAAGTGACCATTTGTGTGATCTGTCTGAGTTGCCTCCTGTCTAAATGTAGAGCATTGGAGGCGACCGTCTGGGAAGGGGAGAAGAGGGTGAACTTACTTACCTATGGTGCTGAAGCCTAACCCATCTTTTCCTGCGTTCCTCTTGAGCCCATGACATGACTGAGTGACATGCATGCACAGGAGAGATTCCACAGAAAGGCTGTGGTCCCACGAAGTCTGAGGCTGACGCAACATTTGCTAGCCTGTCAGCCACCTCATTCCCTTCCATCCCTGAGTGCCCAGGAAGCCAACAGTGTTACCTTTGTTACGCCTGCCCAGGTCACATACTGCAGAAAGGCAGTCCCAGACCACCTTAGAATTGAATTCAAAGGAGTCGAGCACTTTGAGCGCAGCCTGGCTGTCTGTAAAAATGGAAATGTTGATGTCCCTGAAGCCTACCCTCAGGTTTTCCCTAGCACAGGTTCCATTATCACAGTCATTTCGGCCTGGAACACAGTTGGGTGAGTACCCATGGGAAGACAAATGTCCACCCCGTTCTGCACTCCATGAATTCCAGCCCCAGTCCCACTTCTTACCTTTGAACCATCAGTATACCATTCAAGGTCGCCTTGTGGAAGAGGATTCCCACCAGACATCCACTCATCCCTGGATGGATGAAGGACAGTGAATGGTCTGGCGAAGAAGAATCTGATCGGCATGTGGTCCGAGGGCATGTCCATTACCTCCCCTCTTACCTGCCGAGTGATCCGAGAGTGACCTCGGGATCCTCCAACATCCAACCAAAGGTTTTCACACTGGAGTCCGTAGACCGTGGTTATGTTAGGTTGGGTTATCATAAATATGTTTGTAGGACTTTCCTCGTTTCAATATAATCAAAAGATTCCAGATGAGTCATATTTTTGCCCGCCAAATACCCCAGATACTGGCGGTGAAAGGTAATGCGAGCTCTCCAGTCAACGTCAGGTCGTTGGCTTACTTGAAGGTGATTTGGTGTGTGGATGTATGACTCATCTGTTATTGTTCCATTCATAACGAAACGAGGAAAGTCCTACAAACATAAGTATATTTATAATAACCCAACCTTACATAGCCGCCAGCGCACTTTATAAGGGTGGTCTCCGGAATACCAAAAATATTGATTGATAAATTAACTACTGTATTCAATATATCCATTATTTCATTCACTACCGGTACCTAACTTATACCGATAGTTAGTTAGGTTAGGTTAACAAACACCAAACAAAATATCCAATTAAATATCGATCCATATTTTCATTCGGTTGTTTTTGACAACAGATATGAAACTCTACCCTATATTAAAAAATACTTAGCAGGTTTAAACACCAAACTCTAGTATGAGACAGTTATCTACGCTTAGCCTAGGCCTGCGTACATGCACATAGAATCCTGCCAAAAATCTACAGTTTAAGTACCGGTACAGCTTGCCCTCACTAACTCAAGTTGTCTTTTCTCTCTCTCATGAAAATAATTTATAGAATCATAATGCAAGTTTGGTTAGGTTTTTCTTAGTTTAACCAAATTAGGCCTAATTTTGTAGTGAACGCTTAACTTATTATTTCGTTGTAAAGTTGTACCTTATAAAAACATTTTACAATTAAGTTAAGGTAGGCACCTAGGCTATACTAAATAACTTTTACCTGAGTTGGCTGCACTTTACTTTACGTCCTACATTCATTCGAATGAAAATATCGATCGATAAATCAATTATTCGATAAGTTATATCGTTTGGTTAGTTAGGTAAGGTATCCTAAGGTAACCTAACTAACCAAATGATATACCTTTATACCATGTATCCATCGATGACCAGTAGTGACTGGATAGATTTCGTCAAAGAAAAAACATTTTAAACATTTTAGTTTTAGTACTTTTTAATTTATGTGGTTAACATGGCTGTAGATTACGAGGCCCATTCACCATTTTCCTCTGTGAAATATTCCTTCATGGAGTACAGGGGCCGCGCCTTGAGTAGTTCCTCCACTCTCTTTTTAAAACTCTTAAGAGGGAGTGACTTTATGTCTTGGTGCAGGTGGTTATAGAGTCTGATGCCAAGGACCGGATAACAGTCTTTTTGTTTACTGAGCCTGCAGAAAGGAACGTTTAGGTCTTCTCCTTTTCTCGTATTGTAACGATGTAGCTGGTTTCTGCAGCTGAGGTTATCTATATTTTCCTTGATCTGCACCAGACAGCTATAGATGAATTGGCTGTATATAGCCTAGTCATTACTCCTAAGGCTCGGAAAAGTGGCCTACAGTGTTCGTGTCTTTCGCTGGATGTTATGGCTCTTATGGCAGCCTTGTGAACTATCAGAATGTTCTTGGTCTCTGAAGCGTGTCCCCAGACAATGACACCATAGCTCATCAAGCTGTGGAAGAGGCCATAATAGGCCAGCTTTAAATATGTATCTGTGACCAGATTTTTTAATTTTCTTAAGAGGAAAACAGTTCTGGAAAGTCTGCTTTCCAACTCATTTATATGTTTGTCCCAGTGAAGTGAATGAAGTCCCGTGTATATCGAATGAAACAAACAAATTCGATATTTTCATTCGAATGAGTGTAGGACGTAAAGGAAAGTGCAGCCCATGAGTTTTTATTTAAGACGTTACCATAAGCTTATTTCTTTAAAAATTTAAATTATTTTTGTACAAAAAAAGTTTCAGGACACAATAACAATAAGCCTGGCATAGCCTAGATTGTTAATACATTTTACCTGTTAAGAAGACTAACGGCTTCATCCACATTTCCATTGCGAACTAGAACAGTTCTGGCAACAAAATAAGCATGTTTCATATTTTGAGATTATTGTGTGAAAATGAACGGTGCAGTTCTCTGAAGAAAGGACTGAGAAATTAATTGAATAAATAGTCTGCACCTGCCTGCACTTACTGCAACACTAACACTGAACACTGGCTCGGCTCTCGGCTGGCGCTGCGCTGGCACTAGTGGAGTGGACACTGGACAGTGGAGTGGAGTGGCACTACCAGCTGCACTAGCAATTTGCTTTTGCTAGTAGCAAAGCAATAGCAATAGCATAGCAAGCAATACGGTTAGGTGCGCCTGCGCCGCAGTTCGCCTATTGTCCGCGAGGTGTCACCACTTGAGGTCCGCTACAGTTAGTTTGTTTATGTTTAGTGATCGCAAGATGTCGCTAACATCGAATTGACATACTCATAGTTCGCAGTTTCTTTTTTATCAGTAATATAAAATAAATAAACTACAAAATCAAATTAAACTCAAGCTAAAATAAACTAATTGTTAAAAGCTAAACAATAACACAAATTTATCTTGTGAAACCTTTTAAGTTAAAAGAAATCCCCTTATTCGCTAATATGTTCTCGCATTGATTTGTGAGTATCTAGAACATAAGTAGCCCGATTGCTGGATTTTCAAGTTACTCATGTTAGGCACATCATACTGTGTCTAGGGGCTTGTATTCGAAACTATCTTTATCTTTGTAAAGCCGAGAGTCGTGTTTGCATGCTGAAACCGACGATTGGCTTATAATACCTATCACCATAGCTAAGTTTATAGCTAATTAATTGGCAGTAGGAGTAGGCCCAGTACGACGACCACAATACATTGGTCTTTGGAGGTTAAGTAACTTGAGGGTTAGCTTTATAAAGCCATTTACCACTTTTTAGATTAATATTTAATTTAAGTGCCAATGAGAATTTAATGTGTAAAGAGTGTTAACTGTCTGAAACAAAGATTAACTTAACCTGTAATTTTCTGGGAAATTTGAGGAAAATGACTAACTTCAAGTTTTACTCAAGGAACAATAAAATTGCAGTGACATCAGTTATATTTTATGAAACATACATTTTGGCTGGTAAGCATGTTACTTGTACATTCCCTTGAACAGCTACCAGACATTAATAGGCCTCTGTCCTAGCCTAGGTGATAAATAGATTTTTTAACCCTCCAAGTGTCCATAGTTTAGGCCTTAATGTCCACCTATTTTTGGCGCATTTGCAAGGTTTTATTAAAACGGATCTGAGAAGCTTAAAACAATGTTAATTCTAATGTTCTATATACCATTTTGTTTGGAAAATCATGGGCTTCAATATTATATATAAAACATAAGGAACATTTAAAAAAAAAAATTTTTAGGTAAAAAAAATATAATTTCGAAAATTTTCAAAAAAAAAATAAGTTCGCGCTCAATGAAATTTTATAAATTATAGGCCTACAAATATTTGAAAATAGCCACTTTGTTCTAAATTTTATGAGGATTACAAATATATAACTTAATAATATAAGAAAGTAGATTTGCAAATAAATAAGTTATGGGCAAAAAACAGATTTCAGTACATAGCGTTTAGCTAAGAATGCATAGCCTAACCATAGCTAGGAATCTGGCTGATAATTTACATCAATATCACTAGGCCTACCTACTTCTTCAGGATCATCAACCAGCACTTCAAAACCACTTAAATCTTCTTATAATGCAACACGTATATCACTACTTTTGATTTTTAATACTAAAACAATGATAAACGTAATAAAACACATTAGTCATCGGTCCGAGGGTAACCTAGCTGTTTACAAATACACGCACACGCACGTCAGCTGTCTGCTACAATTAATTACGATCAGCTCAGAGAAAAAAAAGCGCTGAGACAGACCTCTGGAGAAAGCTTAGAATATTACGGAAAGAACGATACCTAACTCGATCCAGTTCAATCCGATTCAGTCAGTCATAGAGCCTTCGCCGTAAACGATGTCTGCTTGTCGAAAAATCGACAAGTAACACTACACAAAGTGTGCTGCTTGTCGAATTTTCGTCAAGTAACACTGGGAGGGTTAATCATTAAGTTAAGTTAAGTCACATACATAAGTTACACACATAATACATAAGTTACATAAATAACAATAGGCCTACATAATAAGTTACATGAAATGCAATTGATCATATCAACACGGATACTAGGTAATATGGAGAATTACAGAGCCACTGGGGCGGAGCCCGAAAGGATTTGTTAGATAAGATAAGAATAAGTTAGGGGTACAGTTTCTTAACTGCGCAATGCTAATATTGATTGAAACTATCGATTCGATTAGTAAACCTTCATGCGATATTTTTCACCATCAGCAAGTTTGGTTGGTTAGGTTAGGTTACGATAGTTTAATTTTATAATAAACTTAAGTTAGAGATGTTTTAAAATATCGATTATTAATCAATATTTTCAATTCGATAGTTTCAATCAATATTAAGTTAGCGTAGCCCAGTTAAGAAACTGTACCAAGAACTGCCCAAGAATAGGCATGTTAATCGGGCATGGCTATCATCCTGCCAAGGTGCGTGGTTGTAGCCTACTTCAGACAAACACACAAACATTCACATTTATAATAGGCCTATTCACTTAATATTATGATTATGCCATGTCATTTGTCAATCGAAACACCAATAACACTCATTTTGGTTACCTACAAATAAAAAAGTTATGTAGCCATAGCTTCAAAAATGTATCTAGATTCATTGTTTCTACTTGGCATTCATCCTACTACTAATATTATTATAAGTGAGAGAGTGGATGGATGGATGTTTGTGACAAGTAAACATGATAAATACTGGACATTGGCTAGACATAACTAAGTTAGACATAAACTTAGACATAGCCTACCTACTTTAAGTACCGGTATTTGCACAAAAACATCCCATACATGTCATAACATTCAGAATAGGTGCATTGTCAAATTTAAATACATAGGCCTACATAAAATATACAACATTTGGTACGGTATTTATAGTAGGCTATAGGTGTCTACTATAGGTGTCGTATAGGTGCCTTTAACTGAATTTTTAATTTTGGTATCTTACTTTTAAGTAGTTTTTTACCTCCTGAATCCAAATAGGCCTAACTTATATGTAAGTTACCATTATTTTTCATCGCTGATGAATATTTTTCAAGATAGGCGTATCGCCGTACAAATATACATCATTACAATTACAATAAACAAGGTAGGATGGATCACATATACAAGTGGAATGAACTGTAGTTTAACTAAGACTTATTGCTGACTTTTTCAACCAAACGACAAGCAACTACTGGAAGTACTGTAAGAGTACGACTTGTTTGCGAGCCGGGTGTGCGGGGGGAGGGCGGTAGCAATCTCCCACCGCAGCCAAAGTTTCTGTGGCATTAGTCGGACTACGCTTTCTACAACCAGCGCCGTTCGCGTTGATTTCCTTTTTTGCTTAGGCCTACATTTTTTTAGAATTTAAATTATAGGCCTAAAACAATTCAAGTACCATGCAATGCAATTACTGGAGTGTTCTAGAGTAATTAATTTTGATACAACTATGTAAAATGTACACCGAATGGTAAAATCGTAGTAGGCCTACCGGTATATAGTGAGTCGGTGGCTCAGTCGGTAGCGTCGCGGACTTCGGGCCCAAGGCAGTAGTGTTGTGGGTTCGGATCCTGGTCACTGCCGATAACATTTTATCAGTACAGTTCACCTTTGTACTGTACCGGCTCACTCCTTGCTTTGCTGTAAACGATCCACGCACGGGCGCTTAGTCTATGTGGACGGGCAAATACAAGGTTAAAAGAGGCCGCCAACCTCTTTAAAAAAAAAAATAAAAAAATAAAAAAATATTCCAATTTAATTGTAAAATTGACATATTAGGTGTAAACCATTAATTGAGTTTATAGGTGATATCCTTAAAGGTGAGTGAGCGTACCGAACGAACTTCAACCAGGACGTGATTGAGTCATGCGAACGAGCTCATCTTGAAAATGAACGAGCATTTGACATAAAACCACATTAGGACAGGACGACGTCTGTTGGGCCAGCTAGTACACCTATAAACAGAAAACCACAAGGTTTAGTAGGCCTACGCATAATTATGGACACTTTTTGCTTATTTTCATATCATGTATATTAAATAACACGTTATAATATCAAACGGTTTTTCCGAACAACCTGTAAAATGGTTAATAGATTGCAGTTTTTTTTAATTTTATATCCCTGAGTTGATAAATCGAAACTCGGTCTCTTAATGTCGTAATGTATTTTATGACAATATTTTATTACTTAGGAAGAGAGTTGTATTCTATCGTGTTCTATTGACTGTAAGTTTATTGGACGTGTTGTAGAGTTGAGTAGTGCGGTAGAGTAATTATTGAGTGATTTTAAGGCGTGAGTTACAAAAGTGTTAGGCTAACTTAGATTAATGTTATGGCAACCATCTGTAAAAAGGGCTATTCACAGTGAAGGGAGGGAAATTATAAGACCATTAGTGTACCACTTTTAGTAAGTGTGTTGGTTTACGCCTCGGGTTTACGCATCCGCTGGGAGTAGAAGTAGTATCATAGACTAAGCAACACAAGTAGACTCCTCATCCCATTGAAAACTGTGAAGCTTGTTTTACGTGTGTAGTTTATGTACGTCCACACTGATCGCTGGGGTAGACAATATTTTGTTTCTATTACTATAAGGTTATTTTCATGATTTGTGCTTTACTTTTTGGTTATATAGCTAGGAGACCAGTTATTGTATATGATTATATTGTTTTATTTGGTTAAATGAGGTTTTAAATGACTGAAATAACAAGCAACAAATAGTAAACAAAACATAACCTCTACAGTTGGACGTACAGAACTAATAATAAAATTGGCTTTCAGCTGTTCCATAAGGATGACAAATCTACTAAGGAAGTACGTTTTATCTATGGTAGTATAGACAACATTTTTAGGGTGACTAGTAGCAGATCACCAAGCACTGGGCTGTGGTGGGGGGCCTCCTGGCCGCGAAGGCGGTGGAGCACAAACAAGTTGTGCGCCTACACAACTTTTGAACTTTATAACTCACTCTGATTCTGTCATTGGCAATATGCCTAGTGACGTCATTTTACTTAAATACTGCTTGCACTTTTGAAATAGTAATTTAAAGTGTTTTTCTCAGGATTTTAATTTTACAAAAACAGTCTGTAGGTGACATAAAATAACAACTCAATTCATTATAACCTAAACTTTAACTTTCCTAATCCAACCTACGTTCAAAGGACTTTATGCAGACACAAATTGGCATAAAGCACGACCTACCACCCTGACATGCCTTTTCTGACACCAAAAGAAGTTTGCCATTGTTCTAGAGGTTTATTGGTTTGGTTAGGTGTTAGATGTTAGAATATTTATTTATTTCCTCTCAACGGTTACACCATTTTACAGCAAATACATGATTTGTTGACATGTTGTTTCTAATAGGCCTCAAAATACTAAGGCAACAGTAGCTCTAACAATAAATTACAAATAATATAACAATAACAAAAGCATAAAGAGATTTGAACGTAATAACAATAATAAAGAGCAACAATTTAAACTAGAGCACCATTTTACTATGTAATTTCTAAATGGCAAAATCAGAATCAGAAATCCGAAATTTAATTTAAATCAATAATCCTTTTCTACGAAACACTACTCCTCCGTTAATGATGGACGGATTTTTACAAACGATGTGTCAGAATAAAGTATTTTTTTTGTAGACGTCCCCTTTCACCAATTCCTGTAATAAAAGTCCTCGGGCTTTGCCCTACAGGCCATCAAAATCTCAATGTATTTCTTATGATAAAAGATTTTGTTTACTTAAACAGACGAATAATATGTATTAATTACAGCTGTTCATAGTAAACACATTATAAACACAAGAGCGTTCGTTTTCAGAGTGAGTTTGTTTTTAGTTTCGATAACTGGAGTGCGAGTGATTGATTAATTTTTTTTTGAGTTGACTCTTTTAAGTCATTGGAAACTATGACTGTCATTCATTTTGAAATAACAAGTGTAGGCCCTAATACTATGCAATTGCTCGAATTCGTGCAACAGTTGCACTAGTAAGAATAAAATACTGGTAACAATAATAAATTACATTAAATGTGTTAACTTAGTGGTGGATGAAAGTGAAAAGTGTAACTTAATTAGGTGATTTTCAAATTAAATCAGGGTTACCGGTAGCTAATAAAGTTGCCACTTCCCATTAGCTTGACTATGATTGAAAACAATCAGCTGTTGGCTTACTTCATCCACAGTTCATTCCACTTGTAAATATGTCATCCATCCTACCTTGTTTATTGTAATGTATATTTTTATGGCAATATCTTGAGAAATATTGATCAGCGGTGAAAAATAATGGTACCTATATTTGGATTCAGGAGTTAAAAAACCTACGAAGTTAGACATCAAAATTAAAAATCGGTTTGGAGGCATGTATATAGCCAACGGAATAATTATCCAACATTTATACTTAACTTAAACTTAATCATAATGAAAAACAAATCTCAATGAAAGTTCTATAAAAATCTACAATTGAGTTAAAAGCCTTGTACATAAGTCAATATCTATTGTCTCTTTAAATTTAGTTTTGTTTAATAACTTGTAGAATGGCGGAAGCACATATTGTACAATCTCAGCCAAGAATACAATGGAGATATTTCTGGTCAGATTGGGCTGAAATTTGGGGTGATGATAGCTCACATTCCCATTTCATTGCTGTGGTGATATAGACACATTCTTATCTCAAAAATCCTTTCGGGCTCCGCCCCAGTGGCTTTGGAGTTTCCCATGTTAACCGTATGAGGATTCATATTTAAAACTAATAAAATAATTTTGTCAGCTGTTTCAACTAACTTACACAATTAAGTTCTATGATATTAAATAGCATTAAAAATTTGTAAGGTTTACCAACAGGGGGCGGGGCAGCACTATTAATTGTTTTTGCATTTATGACAACAACATCTAATTTGAACCAACTACCAACAAAAAGCTCTTGAAAAATGAGAATTTCACGTTTTTTATTGTTTAGGTGTAGTGGTAGAACATTTTGGCTATGGTAGATGTGCTGTACTATGGCATACCGGTACCGTAAATTAAAAGAACAACATTTTCTTAAACCGGGTCCTCTCCCATTGCAAACGCAAAGCACGGGTATACCTGCAATAAGCATTTTATACTCATACCCCAACCCCGTACGAAGGACGGGTACTCTGCTAGTACTACATATTTGAGTAAAACATAAGGGTTTGTATCGCTTTCCCCGAAAAAAAAAACACATTTATAAGTAGGCCTACTCTCTCCAAAATCTCTTTCTGGAAAAAAATACCACTGGCGTCTAGACATCGATAAAAAAGCTCAAACCTTTTTCAGGTATTGGAGGAGATTTATGTGTATATGAACAAAAAAAGAAAAATGACATATATTCAATTTTTCATGGTTCTGTTATACATGGAATTGTGCCAGATTTGAAATCAACCCAACTGTGTGTGCATGGTGGAAGGCAAGTGGGAATAATCAAAACAAATCTAAAGATGACGTCAGATAAAAGGTCAGTATCAAGCTACTTATGCTTTTAGCACTTCCAAGATAGCAACCAAGATAGATTTCCAAGATGGATTTATATTTTATTTGGTGAGTCGGTGGCTCAGTTGGTAGCGTCGCGGACTTCCGGCCCAAGGCAGAGATGTCGTGGGTTCGGATCCTGGTCACTGCCACAAACTTTTATCAGTACAGTTCACCTTTGTACTGTACCGGCTCACCCCTTGCTTTGCTGGATACGTTCCACGCACAGATCAGTAGTCTATCTGGATGGGCAAATGCAAGGTTAAAAGAGGCCGCCAACCTCTTAAAAAAAAATACCCACGCCGCAGCAAACATGCAGACTAAGCGAATTTCCATTTGAATATTGTTAAATTTATTAATTTTATATATTTTTACGCCATTAAAGTAATATTTTAGTAAAATCCAATCAGGCGAATGGAAATTTGCTTAGTTTGCTGCACCAGAGGTAGAGGTATTTATTTATAAAATCAGGGAAGAACCTCCATGTTGCAAAAGTTCAGTTGTTATTATTACTCTGCTTGATTTAGGCCTATATAACATTTGTTTAAAGTAATTGCCTATGACCTGTGTTTGAATGATTACCTACTTGAATCTAAGAAAATGCTTACTCGTAAAAGTGTAGTAAAAATGTGCACAAAAAGTTCACTAATATTAACTAATAAGGTAAATGAAAGTGTTGTTAACATTAGCAGGTCTTACTTATCAGCTTAAAACACTTTTTTTATGAGTATTACGTGCAATCTTACATAGCCTAATTGTAACATGTTCTTGCATTTGACAGGTTATCTGTGGTCTGTAAGTGGAGACTCGCTGACTGGGTGCTCAGCTGTCAGTGGGTTGGACTGGAGCATTATCTAGCCGTTCTGACGGCACACAACGTCTTGTCTCTACATGACACCTCCACAGGGGTCCCTCTGTCTACTGTAAACTGTGTGGAAAACTGTATATTGTATCCTTGACTTTGTGTATCATTATCATTCAATATCATTGACCATGTGTACTTGGAACTTGGAGTATACTTGATCCTATTTTAAGATTTCAAGCTATTTTTACTAGTGGATATTTAATAAAAAGGTTTAAATACCTGCTATTAAGAAATCCATTCAATTGCAGCTGCAACTAGTTTTGCTCCTATTTGGAGCCATCATCAGGAGGTACAAGGACTTCCTTTCTTCATATGAAGAGTGTCACATTTAACATATAAATAAATAAACATTTACACATGACATTATTTGAACACGGTAAAACATTATTTATGGTAACTGAACAGTTATAACAGACGACACTAACCCGGTAGAGTTTAAGTCCATACTGCGGGTGGTCAATGCAGTAGGTGTACGTCTGTTATCTTATGTATCACCTAAGGTTACGACATGTCTATCACACTTCCCCTCTGCAATATTTTGATGGCTTTGTCATACATAAAATTCAACGAGAACAAGAGCCAATCATTTAACACAATTTGGTGGTCGGATTTTACTGCCTTGTATATCTTAAATTCTTCCAAAGTGTTTAATTTAAATCTGCCACTCTTCATATGAAGAACGGAAACGTCCTTGCACCGCCTGATAATGACTCCGAAACTAGTTGCAACTTGAATTGAATGGATTTTTTAATAGCAGTTATTTAAACTTTTTAATATAATTTGGCAATCCGTAGGCTAACATCTACAATGAAGATGGATATTTGTAGACCAATGGTATTTTTTACATTTTATGAATGAAAACTGTCCAAACCCTGATCTTGTTACGATTCAACTATGTAACCCTGACCTTAGGGTGGATACCATTATTAATTTGTGGTCAATGTCAAATAATACCTGGTTCAAGAATCGATCTCACTCAGGTTCAAACTAGCAGTCTTCAGATTTGAAGGCTTGTTTTATTATGAGATCCATCTTCAGATATGTTCAAGTGCTACTCTGACAGTTGATTAAGTGTTTCTTATGACTGACTGGGTAGCCGAGGGGTTGTAGTGCTTGCCTAGTAATCAAGTAGGGTTGTAGGGTTGCCTAGTAGGTCGCTGGTTCGATTCTGAGAAAAGTCAGTAGATTTTTAATGATTCGAAACTGGACTCAGCTGGTCCTGATCATTGGGCTTTAAATAAATGATCCTGGATAATGAAACAGCTGATCTTAGTCAGTAAAAAAGCTACACAGATTACCTCACACCATTCTACACTCATCCTTCACTCATATTTGGGTTAAAATCCGCACCTAGGTGGTGTCCCCATCTTAATGATTGATAATTGAAATTGACAATTAATTGTTGTAGTTTAAATTATTTACAGTATGCACGTTACTCTTCGGATACATAATAATGCGAGAAAGGGCTGTAATTTACAGTAAAAAAGTTTGTCAAGAAAAAAGGTATACACCTGCACACGTAAGGATACTGTACGTTATTACAACTTAAACAACTGATCCACAATGATCATAAGTATAACAGAGGATATTAAATCTAAGTCAATTACTAAACTATTTCTTCTTTGTGGATTCAAACCTCTGAATTTAGTACCTCAGTAATAATATGTGGATAATTTACAGTCACATCTGCATGCGCTATAGTCTTCTCAGTGTTCATCCTTTCTATGGTTATCTTTTTGATACTTGCTCTTACTTACTTCCAAGGCCATCTGTATTGCTGTTGATACTTGGCCTCACCAACAAATCCTTTCCAATATTTGACCTGTCCTCTGTATCCTGTTCTGTGGCTCCAACTCTCGGCATGTCTGACTTGCCCTGATCCCACCATTTCTGTTTCGGCCTCCCACGAGGTCGCTTGACGCTTTCCTTCAGAGTTATCTGATTATCTTCAGTTGAGACGTTTCTTCCCTTCTCATCAAGTGTCCCCATCTTGGCCTTCCATCTTTTTGATTAATTTGGGAAAGAAATCCTTAACTTTTATCAGATATTCAGCAGCTGTTTTACAAAATGCTAACAGGTGGGAGGATACTGTGGTCTTGGCAGGAACAGTCTTTCAACAAATTGTCATCTGGACAGTTGGGAATGAATCTCCTAGTGTCAGACCTGTGTTGCATAAACTGTGCGGCCACAAGGTAAATTATCATCATGTAGCCTGCTGTCTTGTCTCACCTTAGGTCAAGATTGTGTGCTTGTTATAATGTAATAATCAATGTAATTTCCCTATTTAGACATTCATTAGTTTACCTGTTTTAAATAACGTCCTGTATCTTGTTTATATATTCTTGTAATCAATTAATATTAGAGTTGGGAAGCTAACAAGGTTTTACTGCTTTGAAACTATAGGTCGGCCGGTTAGAAAACGACCTGCTTGAAATTGTTAATTGTTAGCACATGTAGAGGAGGTAACGGTGAGGGAGTGTATGTTCCCCCTCTCCACCAACAAGGCACCGCCCCGGTGTCGTTGGAGTTGGAATCCTGTGTTACCAAATGGAACTGCTTACACATAATAACATTTCATGATGCTCAAATATTGATGTGATTTAGGCTATAACATATTTTTTGCAGGACCTATTTTTCTCAAGTTATGAAGAACGTAGCTGTTTACATTTTGATCAGCTGTATAATTTAATTTGATTAGCCGTGTTCGGGAAGTTTGGGGGTGGGGCGGCAGCGGAGTGGGGGAAGAGCCTTTGTCTGTCTCACTCACACAGCTCGGTATCTCTCTCTCTCTCGCACCAATGCGAGGACGCTTTCTAACCGGCCGACCTATAGACCCAACTGTTGTTCTTGATCAACAGGGTTTTAATAAATAATCATGGCTGAAGAAAAACAGCTGATTTTAGTCAGTAACAAATCTAAACGGATAATCCACTTCCTTCAAAATTCACCTTGCATTCTCATTAAGAGGGATCCACCCGCTGGCTGGTTACCTTGTAAACATGGTCCTACAAAAAAGAACCTTGTGGCATTGTTAAAATGTTTATCAAGTTTAAATAAACTGTAGAATATTCACAAAGTTCCGAACTGGGTGAACTGAAACTTCGTAATTGTTCCTTTAAGTATTTACAAAATGATTTAGAAAATCTGTAAATTAGTCTTTTCACATGTGATTTCAGCTCCTAAATAATAGTTAATCATCAATTTCCCGCCATCCATTGCAAACTCTGATATGTTAAGAGCACAAAAAGCACACAATCATTGGAAACAAATAGTTTTAGAGTGTTGAGAGCTTGTACCGTAGAGGCATGTTTAGAAACATTAGCACGTTTAGCCACTATCTTGAATTGACCGGGTAGAAACCTCTCAAGCTTACAGTTTGTATAGTCTATAATTTATAATTAAAAATTGGGATTGTTTCAGGGTGTGATTTTTTCAGTGAGATACAATGCACATTCGAGTCAGATTTGTTCGACTTCAGATGACAGGACTGTTCGTGTGTGGTCTGTCGCTTCTTCAACCGACAAACCTCTAACTGCTCAAGACTGGAAGGAAGCGACTATCACTCTTACTGTTACAATTTTTGGACATACGTCTAGAGTTTGGCAGAGCTGCATACTGACTGATAAAAGAATCGTCAGCATAGGAGAGGTTGGTGAAGTTTTCACTGAGTTCAGAGAATGAGAGTAATGTTATTTTTTAAACTTTAATATCATGTAATTTTTTTTTAAGGGGTCTGCGTTTACTATACAATGTTACAATCTCAATGGTAAAACACAATCATCAAGTTAGGTTAGGTTGGTTTTTCCAACTTAAGTTGGGTTTTGTGTATTTTTGATTGTAATGTGTTAGTTAAGTTTTTTTCACCTGAGGACGGGATCAGATTTCAGATCCCGAAACGTTGTGTATTGTATATTACAATTGCGATGTAAAATGAAATGTCTACAATTCAACCTATAAAAACATTAACTCACCACCACCAACAATGAACATCAAACTAAGAAAAGATAGATGTTAACTGTAATAAAACGGAGTATAGCTATATCTGTTCCATAATATGGCATGTCTACTTCAGTAACCTAAAGTCAAAAGCCTAGTTGTAGTCAAAATCTGATTTTCTCAGGACTCGATGCTATGTGTGTGGGCCGGGGGAGGTGAAAGTATATCCCGCAGAGAAACCCACCAAGGAGCTGGCATCTGGTGTATGCATGTCACAGATGACGAGACACTGGTGGTGACAGGAGGTGCTGACGGAGGGGTGACGTTGTGGCCGCTAGATCCTCCCTCGACTACGACCAAAACACTCCCCCCTCCCCCTGACACTGCTCGCCGCGTAGCCTTGCTGCCTGGCCAGGTAGTGACTGTGACGGAGGAGGGGAGGCTGATGGTGTACAAAGAGGATTGGAGATGTGTCCTTCACGACCCCAGGATCGCCAGCTATTGCCTGCTGGATGTTTCACCGTCGAGAAAACGCATTGGGTTGGCCACCATCAAGGGACATGTCATTGTGTTGGATAGTAAGGAAGCTTTTTGCTGTACAATGATTACATTTTGGTTTTACTATTTGGATGATAGTTGGTTTGTGAAGATTCAAGACTGATTTGTGATAATTATTTTTGTAATGGTTACATTTTTTAAACCTAAAAAAGGATGTAGAGCTTGATAAAAGCGATAATTTTGTTTAAGAACCTTTATCAAGAAAGGTTGGAAGGGTCTTAATCTTTTACTACAGTAGACTTCCTCTTATCCGGACATCTTATAAATGGTCATCGGCTTAATCCTCAGTAGAAGTGACATCTCTTTAACAAATGTTATTGGTTTAACCAGACTAGATAGGCGGGAAATGTGTGGTACTGATACGACTTTTTTCTTGGAGAAGATTTAAGACCAGTGATCACGTGTCTAAATTCAATGCTCTCCAAGTTTAAGTAAACTGTTGGGTTGGTTTTTGATTGATTCCGTGTTGTGCACATATACCATTAGTCGTGTTCATACAGTGTGCGTACTATAAATTGTGGTTGTTGTGAGAGTTAATTTGTGTTCTCTGTCAATAACCAAAGAAATCGTTGCGCTTTGCTTCATTGTTCATGTGACAATCCCTATATTAAATGTATTCATGTAATATTTTTAGGCAACTTTTAGTTAATTAGTTTGAATCGGTTTTGTTACTCAAGAATCTAAAACTTATGAGTTTTTCAGTTTGAAAAATTGCATTTGCAAACATTTGTTCTGTAATTTATAGCACTTATTCAATTGTTGCATTTTCTAGGTGAACATTTTGAAGTAATCTTAGACAAGCAGGTTTCTGAAACAAAGATCTTCTCGCTACATTGGCTTGATGAGAAAACGCTACTAACCTGTTATGATTTGGGACAAATGTTTGTTTGGAGTATTATAGAATCAGGTATCGTATATTATTTTATGTGTAGGTACTGGTCGGCATTGGTCCTAATACTGCTTGGTTTATAAAACCCCAAATAGGTTTGGCTATGAATATGAATACATTTTGAATCAAAATGATTTACATATAAACAAATCCTTAATTTTATTTTTGGTTCTATAAATTAAGGTGTTAGGGTTGTGTGAGCTGGTCGGCTTCACAACTATTCACATATGTTTTTGAGGTTTATCGGACTGGTGAATTATATGTCAAGTTTGGTAATGAACGTAACCCCGTGAAAAGATTCAGATTTACACAATCCCTGTCTAGCGGGCACTTCGACTTTTTAGAGCCACAAAAAAAGCAATGTGATTTATTTTATCATAATTTGGCACTTAAACACTAATTTATTACACATTTCAACCAATTTGAAAGTTTCAGTTGTAAAGCACAGGTATTCCGCTAGTAATCTTAATCTATAAATATTTCATTAAATTTACTGTTTTAAGATAGTGAACATGAAAAAATGTTATGCTCTAGAATAAAATATTGCACAATCTACGTCATATATTTTACGTCATTAAGTTATCTCTGAAATTTATGATAAGTTCCACTAAAATACCAAAAAAACATCCAATTTTGTTTAGCACGTTCTCTAGACATCTAGGTTAGGTGAATTCAAAAACTCAAACAAACCAGTGGAGTTTTTAATTATTCTACTGTAGTTTTATCATCACATGTATTCTCCTTTGAAGGTTTGCTAGAGGTTGGCAGATGTTACTTGCCAGCATGTAAGGAGCGTTGGACCACAGCAGCTGTTAGGTTACGTGACACTATAGTCTATGGTGACAGAGCCGGTAACATCCATTCATCACCAGTGCTACCAACTCATGCCTGCGCTGTTGTATGTATGTTCTATCTAACTTTATCTTTGAACAAATAGTTATATAGTGTTTTTATGTCCCTTGTTCAATGGAATCGAAAGCTTATACTTATACAGTAATTATAGTTGCGCTAGTCTCTTCAACAATTAGTGGACTGTGACCAAGCCATACGTTGGTTTTGCACCAACAATGGTTAAATGAGTTTTTTTTTCTAAATAGGCTAGTGTTTCTACTTTTTGTATATTAGTTGCAGTTGGAACGTTGTTTTCGTTTTCTAAATTTGTGACTTATAAACTACCATAAAATATGTTATCGCAAAGTGACCTCGTTGAGTATATTATGATTGCCCGTTAGAACAATACACAATGGCTTTTATAGGTCTGTATTTATTTAGTATTTAGTATAATGTTCTCTTTGCTTCAAATGCAGAAATGAAAATACTCCATATAGTGCAAAGTTTGTGTGAGTTGTTAGAATCGTTAGCGTCTCAGACTTCGAGAGGGTTGGATTCAGTTTTGGACATATCCAAAAAACAAACATTTTTTTTTTGAGTTTTGACTTCTTTCTTCTTTCCCCTCAAAGGGTTTATAACTCTGTTATTCAAATTGCCACTGGTGTATACATTACACTACAGACGAGTAAAACAAGTTGTAATATAAATATATAAGCTACATTTTTTTTTGAAAAATTTCTTAACAGCAGTTCCTTATTGTAAAATCATAGATACAAAATTGATTCGGAACAATAGTATAAAAATCTACTTTATGTCAATTCCTAGCAGCTAGTATAAGTTAATATTAACACATGTTGATTTGCAGGAAGCGGTTACCACTGTACATCGTGCGCACAGCAGGCTGGGCGTCAGCTCACTGAGCGTGGTGCAGGGTGAGGTGTGGTCCACGGGGCGTGACGGGATGCTGCGCAGATTCTCTGTCAGACAGACAGACCACAGTTTGGTGTGTGTGGCGGCCAGTAAGCTACAGCTGGACTGGGCTGCCTCTGTGTTATGTGTGTCACCTCAGAACATTCTGGTGCTGTGCTTCCATGAGGTGGGTTTTGGAACTTTGGAGAGGACATTTTGCAATTGTTTAAATCAGTATGTTTTAAAATTAAGGACCGCTTTTGTAAAATTTACTGCACTACTATGTAGGTATTTAATACAGAGTGTCTAACGATTTTACTAAGGGACCACAGAAAACATTGAAAAATAATACGCTATCATTATAAGGTCCCAAAAGTCACAGAACAAATTTTAGATTATAAAGACTGGAGTGTTATTGAACAGATATAAACCTGATGTTTACCTTGAAATGTGGACCTGTTGGTAAATGCTGCATACAAAGCCTCCTGTATATAACCTGACGTAGATTTTAGTTGTGGTCTGCATGGAGACATCATTGGTACAATTTTCATTACATAATAGAAAAATTTTACAATCTTGAAATTAGGGGTGTGCGAGTACTCGAATCTTCGAGCTTTTTGGTCGAGCTTTTCATTATTCGGCTCGGCTCGAGGCATTTTGAAAAAGCTCGAAGTTCGAGCCGAGCTTTTAATACTAAGTCAAAACTAAAAAAACACTTAATTTTGGTCGTAATTGAAAACAATGTTATCACAATTCTACGTTGTTCATGCATTCGAGGTTTGATAAGCAACGGCAAAGAAGCCGTATGATGCAATACTGATAACTAGTTTAGTCGTTATCGGCTGTTTTGCTTTACGATTAGATTCGTCTGGAACGAACAGACATAAAGCAGAAAAGAACTACCATGGTCAAATGAAAGTCAACTCGTGCTTGTCTCCCTCCTGATACTAGGGGCGCTGCGTAATAGTTTTTTTTACAGTACTGTTTGAAATTCAAAGTAGAAAAATCTAGCCTACTACTGTGATGTTACGTTAACAATAGATTTAATGTTTCCCAAAAAAAAGTCAGAATAGAAACAATAGAAAGGCAACACAATAGAAGGGTGGGAGGGGTTGGGCAATGACCTCGAAAGGAGCGCGGGTAGTGAGTCAAGTAGGACCGGAGGGGGAAGGGGTGGGTAAGACCTTGAAGCTATAGACTTGCACTACTTCCCTAAACCTAAAGGACTGGCCGGCGAGTGGTATTCCAATCACAGGACAAGATACGTTGTGTTTTGGGTATTCATTGCCCGGTTTGAATTTGGATTGTCTTACTGTGTAGACACTTTGAATAATAAAAAATAAAGTTAGAACTAACCACGATTATTTAGCATTGATTGTGTACATATTAAATGATTAAACTATAGGGACCATGGATATATACAAACTTTTGTCGTGATTTTAATTTCAACATCAAAATAAAATACTGCACAATCGTGATATTTCAGGTCATCGACCTTTATTATGCATCCGGTATTGCTGTTTCAGAAGAGAAGCACGTTGATAAATTATAAATTGATATTCCCGTAGTTAAAAAGAATTATTTTATAAACCTATAAAACAAAATCATAAAATCTTACATAAAGATAACAATAACGGAAATTGTAAAAAAGGTATAAAGATAACACGTTATTCTTTGTCTTTGTTCTCCTATTTCTTGGGTTTAACCCTTCATCACGCATTCAACAAGTTGCCATGGTTACTAATCACCCATGTCGTTATCAGCTTTTGTGACATAGCGCACAGCAGGGGGGTAAAACTTGACGAAAATCGGTTAATTTTTACCTATTATTTAATTACCAATGAATGTACTACTTTATTGGTACTATTTGGTACTGTATTAATAATCGGTCAAAATGGCCGATTTTTGTCAAATTTTACACCAAATTTATTGAAATTTCAAGGTGAATATTAATAAAACAATTATTACCAAATATTTGTATTCATTTAAAAGATTGATTTGTGGTATTGGGTTCCCCACTGAGTGCAGCCGAGCGGCACTAATGAGGGTCGGACCTTCTTGGGGGTGAACAAAAGACGGCTTATCAGACCCTCCCCTCCCCCGTGGTCTGGAGAAAGCTTGTAAACAAACTATTGCACAAGCATGATTTGACATTGGGCTGCTTCAACTATAATTTTGTCAAATGAACTATGATGTTTCAAAATCAAAAACAATAATTTGGGACCATACTGCTTAACAATAATGGACTGCAATTATTGTTGAACATACAATCCATTTTTAACAAACTAAGATTATACGATTCAAATACAATTATAAAAATTATCTTGTTATTATACTTGGGGTAATGAAGTTATGTAGGCTAATGTAATTCTCAGTTCATCAAGGTTCTACTGAATTATGTTTGGCAGTGAATAAGTGTAGAATGCAATTTATAAATTCAGGGATACACACCTTTTACACAGTTATAAAGTCGTTAATTAATAGAAATAGTTAATTCTGGAAAATTAAAAATAGTGATCGCATTCATAAACCTGTTGTCAAAACAGCAACACGGGTGTAAGGGTGTATTGTTTTAGATGCAAGGGTGTTTCAAGGACAAAGTACCTCCCGGCTTAGGGGGGGAGGGGGGCGGTGAGACTGTGTGAAGGGGAGGAAACTGGTTTTGGCTATTTATTGATTAGTTCCCCGACCCTTCTAGATAACAAAATTGAGTGACAGTATTAAATCATCGTGTACTTTATTTCATTTCTTGTTTACTTTGTGTGTTATTCTATTAATTTTAGTGTTTTGGTCCATTTCCTCTATGTCAATTATATCTTTTTTAATATATAAGTTTACTTTTTACTTGTCTCTCCACCTTTTTGGATCCAAACCAACCATGTTCTTTTTTTGATTAATACGATTCATAAAACAAAAATATTTTGTGCATGGAAAACAAAAAGAATAATCACGTGTTTTAAAATTTATTTTGTATTTATTTATACAAAATAGAATTAAATATTCATAGTAGTAACAATATACATTATGTAATCGAGTTGTTTTGTCGTAATTCAATGTCGCGTTGCTGTTCTGTTATGAAAGACAATCTAATTGTCTCAGTCTGCACTGCATATCTCGTCAGGCCTTCAATCGATATCTATTTATTTCTTGCATTTAATTTAGTTCAGTTCAGTTCTTATCGTGATTATCTACTATTTGATGTCTTGACAATTCTCAATGTTTATAAACATATTAAAATAACATTGTGTTTATTTAAAAATTGACAGAACATTATTATTATTATGCACTTTTTTAAGAAAAAAAGTTTAATAACTTAGATAAGGTGACGCTAGGAAAAGCTCGGCTCGAAAAAGCTCGAGCTCGAAAAATTTTTAAAAAGCTCGGCTCGGCTCGGCTCGAGGTTGAAAATCACTATTCGCACACCCCTACTTGAAATAATCCTCATTCTTTCTATTGCTGCTGTTACTGTGCACTAAAGGTATGTTTCCCTTGTCTGTTGGTAGTCTCAAGTTGTTCTGTGGGATGTTCAGCGTAGACACAAGCTGCTGTCGCTACAATGTGGCGGAGGCCATCGCTCCTGGGACTGTCTGGTTGAAGACGGACACTTTACTTTTGTCTTCCTCAAGAACAAAACCGCCCATCTACTGCAATCCGAACTGATGCCCATAGAACGACCGGTGCTTCTGGTAAGTAGGTGTGATATATTTTTGTTTGATTTATTTGTGTTTCCTACACCATTGACATCTTTTTAATTTTTTTACAGGACCGGGGCCAAACCCCTTGTTTCCTAATGTTAACATAGTGTTTGAAAGTATCATTAATGTTTGGCTCAATGGCAAATGGCATCAGGGTCCAGAATCAATCTTGCTTGGAATCAAACCAGTGATATAAATACAGGGTTGCCCATACGTCAGTTGACAAATATGCATCCAATGAAATAATACACAACAAGAACATGTTTGTAATAAATATCTATTACTACTAATTCTGAAATCAAAAACAACGTTTAAGTAAGATATTACTAGCTGTTACCCACAGGCTTCACTCCGTTTGACTTCATAAGTACTGTATTAATAAAACTATTGATTGTTTAAGTTAAGCTGAAATAAACAAAAAAGAATACAGCAATACAAACAAATAATAACACCTGATTATAATATGGTAATAAATAGAGAACAATTATCAAACATATAAGTACAGCTGAGGTATTTTTAACATCAGGTAGGCTGGTAGGCTATATAGAAAGTTCCCTTTAGAAAGGAATTACCTTAAAGGGCAATATATGAAATTATGGATAGTTTTGCACAAGGTTTCTCGTCATGACGAAGATTTTAAGTTTATGGTTTATGGGGGTGTGACTTTTAGTTTTCTCAAAAGTTCATGGGTACTTTGGGATTTATATATGGATAAGTTCACTAAAATTGTGTCCAATCTTATTTCAAAAGGTGCTTAAAGTGGTGTCTACGCTCTCTTATGCATGCTTCTCATCTTTTCAACACCGACTTACATATTCTGCCAGAAATGTGGAAGTTCAGCTACAGAGCCAGTTTGTTCAAATCTAAAATTTAGTTTGTGAATACCTTGTCGAGATGGAGGTTCAATATTCGGAAAACATTCTGTAAACAAGTCACACACATCACTATAACTATGGTCATGTTTCCACCATGTTTTCAAAACAAATACACCTTGTTCTGTTGTTAACTTTCCATTCATTGTTAATTGAATAACAATGAACGCACTAACAACTATCAAATATAACCTCAAAATAAAAAACCACAAATTACGAAATGACAACAATGACCAACAGCTGTTGTACGGTTTGTAACAACAGCAGAAGTTAAAAATGATTATTATTAAAAGTTGCTATCATCAACTGACTTATGGGCCACCTGGTATTTGAAGGCAAGCACTATAATTACTCGGCTACCCAGACAACCTTTATGGAAGAAAAACTGACAAGTTGCAATGTGAAACTGAAGACTATCAAAAATTCTTTCAACAGAAAAGCATTATGTTAACCTTACGCCCAACCCTTGTTTGAAAAATATTTTTTTATAACTGGACATTGCACTTGTGTGTATAATATTCTTGGTATGAACTATGGTAATTATTCTAACTAAGCTGTTTCAAACTCTTTGAGTCGCAGGGATTGTTCATTGATCTATTTTATCACGTTTGCCATGGTTTTTTCATAAATCAACAGTGGACACACTGTAAGGATTAATGCAAGTTAGCTGAATCCCTGTAAGTTGAAGGGTCATTCACAAAACGTCCACTCATTCCAACAGCCTTAGGATTTATTCACCAATTAAGGTCGATTCACACATAATCAGTCCAGTCACTGTTCCGTTACAGTCCAGTTACAGTCCAGTCACAGTTGCAGCCGCAATTTCTCAGTCAAACTGTCAGTCATTTGGTTGCATACCAAACAACGATCGTTTTTTTTTTTTTTTTGTCACTCTTCCGTCACTTTATTTACAGTGTTGTTAAAGTCCAAAATATTTTATTATTTCACAACATTCTATCAATTTTTCATTGTTTGTCTTGTTGATTGTTACAAACATTACTTAAAATAAAATCAATCATTTAAATAAAAAAGTACTATTTTCTTACCTCAATCACGTCCGTCAGGCGTTCGAACAATCCAAAAATATCGGTGAAAAGAAATCTGAAATTGACTGACCGACTCCTGCAGAGCTACTGACGGAACTGCAACGGGTGAGTGTAGATAGCGCTACAGAAAATCCATTAAAGAATATTTTTGTTAACTGTGACATTACTGAAGTGACTGGACTGCAACAAGCTGTAACTGATGTGTGTGAATCGACCTTTAGCCTCCCTCACGAAGCTCTGCCACAGACGATTTGATATCATTACACCTGACAAGACTGCAATATCTTTACAGTGCAATAATATCCTAGCTTAAAAGACAACACCTTTTACTGCTTAGCCATTTACAAGACTACCGTTTACCACAGGAGTCCCTTATGAAAAAGTTTATATATGGCCATATAAAATTTTTTTTATCTGGTTATATTTGGTTTTGGACCAAATATAACCAGATATGATCATATATGGAATCCCCCATATATGGAAATTTTTTAATAAAAAATATATAAATAAATAAAAAAATTACAATTAAACATATTTTCACGTTAAATCTTATAAACTATGCATTAAAACCATAATAAAAATTTTTAATTTGAAAATTTCAAAACAAAATTTTCAAGTAGCCGACTGGGATTCGAACCCGGGATTCCAGTGTGGGAGTCTATCCCTTTGACCACTACACCACAACCGCTTCATATCAGATGTCTTTACAAAACCCATTACGAATAAGAGAAGCTGTATTTGGTCTCGTAAAACAAGATTTTCTTAGACATTTTATGTCATTTGAAGAATTTTATTATTAATATAGCCTAACTACGTGTCATAGATATTTGCAGCTGTTTGATAGCAAAGGTACAATAAATTAATTATTAATATAATATTCTCTTTATTTAGGCCTACTACACTTACAATTTTAAAATTATACGTCAGTTTTAAGATTTTGTTGCGTTATAGTAAAATTGTACAATAGATGTATGTACAGGATTTTGTCATCTGGGTTCAAATCTGGATACTTTATTACTTTACTACTAATTACTTTAAATGAGAAATGCCTATATTATCTGCCCCCCACTGTACCACATTTCAACTCAATCAGTTCAGTAGTTTGTGCTTCCGAGAGCAACAAGAAAATACACAAACTCACAAACTTTAAGATTTATAGTATTATATATATTATAAGAAGTGTTTGGGAGTCCAGTTACAAAATCCAAATGTGGCAACTATTCCTTATAATAATTCCAGTTATTGTCAAAACCTCATTTATACATGAGCATAAATGGAAAATTATTATTCCGTATATGAGTAATTTAATTCCATACCTGGGAGTCATATATGGCCATATAAAGACCATGATTCCATATATGGAGGATATTTATGGCCATATATGGGCAATAATTTCATATATAGAAAACATGTATGGCCATATATGGACAATCATTTCATATATAGAAAACATGTATGGCCATATATGGCCAATAATTCCATATATAGACTACATATATGACCATATATGGACACCACCATATATGGATACAACCACATCTGGCCATATCTGCTTCCATATATGTCCATAAAAAACCATATATGGCTTTATGAAACCATATATGGAATTTTGATATGGCCATATATGGCCAGAAATTACTTTTTTATAGGGGGTAAACCCAAAATAGAAACATTTACTATTAATTTTTCAGGAAGGATTTCACCCCCGAGAAATCAACAGCATGGCACACATCACTGAGGGTTGGGTGGTGTCGGGAGGGGAGGATGGCACTGTGCGTTTGTCCCAGTCTTGTAACAAGGAGTGGACAACCTGTGCAGTGGAACATAACCACCTGAGTAGTGTGAGGGCAGTCAGTGTTGCCAAAGTACAGAACCAAATTTACCTCTTTTCTGCAGGAGGTAGAGCTCAGATGAAAGTTTGGAAATTCCACCTAGCTCAACAAGGTAACGGTTTTGTTTTGGATTTAATTACTGTTAATTAATTGGATGAATAATTATTTAATTTTTATTTGATAATCTCATTTGGCTCTTTACTACAGTTTCGTTAAAAAAACTTTAGTTCTTAGTAAATTAGTTTACTGAAAAATGCAAATGTATGTAAAACATATTTTTTCAGATTTATTATACCCATTTACATTAGTATATATATATAATTGATTTCAATTCATTATTGTTATCATGAAGAAGCAGTTGCACAGCCCAGTTGAGCTTAATAACTCTCTTCCATCCTTGTTTCTCTAGTTGAAGCCACTTGCCATTTTTTCTTTTGGAGTCTTTCAGGTCTTCTATTTCCAGTTCCACTAATTTTACTCTCAACCCTGATTTATCCATTCTTCCTTCATCCATCATTCTTATTTGACCATTCTAGTCAAGCCATTCAATAGTATTCTACCTTTGTTTCTGATCCTGTCTCTTTCTTACACTAGTCATGGATTTGACACCCTTATTTGACTTTTTTAAATGTCTTACTTTCACATAAAAGACATTTTACATGGTGAAAAATATATTGTTGCTGGTTTTGTTGTGACCTTTAGTGCAAATGAGCCAATTTTCTGACATAGTACTAGCATTATTAGTGTTCATTGTGGAGGTTGTGTTTTAAGTAAATATTTTCTGTCCCGTTTAACGCTAATTTGTTTTGTATTTTAAAGTATGCCTTGCGGAGGTCACTTCTGTAATGTTGAGAGAGGAGAGGAAAGACAAACATTGGTTAAATGTTGTCCCGATATCAGACCCTGAGACCAGGTATGTGAAAGGCAAGTTTTATAGCTTAAATGTAGCATGAATTAGTTGTACACTTAACTGTTATAAGATACAAGCTCAGATTACTGGTAATGTTTACTAATTCATTTTAATTTTCTTGTAATTATTTTATTTAATTTTATCAATCAATACATCAAAAATATTTTATAAGAATTCTACAAAATTCTTACTGAACAAAAGTGTTTAAAATTGCAAAATTGTAAAAAATTCTCTTTTGTAGAAAAACATTGAATTTTGCAAAATGGTTACTTAGCCCACAAGATATCCTTACCTTTTTACTGCTGTTTATTTCTGCTGACTTAAGCGAATTTGAATTATGAATGCAATGTAAATCTTTATTAGTATGTTTTGCTCATTCGGCCGGGGCCACACTTGTAACTTTTAACCAGCGAGACTGTTTTTTTCCGTTTTCAGGTGCGACGCACGTGGAACAGTTTGACCGTGGCCACACTCGTCTTACGAGATAGGTTTTTTGGGCAAAACAGTGAGACTGATAGAGCATGCCACACTGGCAATAAAAATCGTCCGTGTCCGTGTCCCACCTCCCCCCCCCCTCCACGTACTAAATCAGTCAGGTTAAAACTAGAAACGTCCGTGGAAAAAATTCAGCGAGATAAGATAAGTGTGTTCACTTCCATAAGCCGCAATGCCCCGCGACTAGTTTTACGTGCAACGCCCGTGGAATGTTAGTAGAGAATACACGTGCAATTCCATTTGTCAGTCGCTGGTAAAACCAGCGAGACTGACAAACGCGTTCACTGACGTTTTTACTCTAGTGTGGCCTGCCCCATATACCGCAATGTATCTCTCAAACCCACGGGTAACGCCCGTGGAAAAATTCAGCGAGATAAGACGAGTGTGGCCCCGGCCTTACCCCCTTACTTTTCATTTTACTTATAGACCAAATATATGATTGTTGCAAAGTTTTTGATGTACATGTCAACCGTTTGTTTCTTTTAAATATAATTATGTACAGTAGGACCTCTATTAACGTCACCCTTGGGATCGGGAGCATGACGGTTAAGCGAATAGACGGATAACAGAGAGTGACCGTTAAAAGGGTTACGGTTGATCGAGATTCTACTGTGGTCATATTTTATAACTAAAATTGCTACTTATGTGGTGTGGTTATATCCCAGTGTGTAAACAATATCAAATAATTAGCTCTAGGTTCGATCAATTTGAATGACCAGAATCATGCTTTTCTAAATCATTTTCTCATATTTTATTTTATATTCCATGGTAAAAACATCTTATTGTTTTCATTCCAGGTACATGGATCTAGCGGTGTTGCCAGAGTCAGACTCTAGTGCTTATGTGTTAGTTGCATGTTCAGATGCCTACCTCAGGTAACTACTTAATCTTACATTATCACATTGTTTGAACCTTAATACAATCATAGATTAAACATACTCATGAATCATCATCTTTATGCATCAGTTAGAAACAATTTCAATGTATATTATTGTCCAGTTTTTGTAGCATGCATTTTAATGTTTACTATTTAATTTTAATTTTATCATCTCTTAATTGTATCACGTCCAAATCTTCTTGTAAACTATTGCTTGCTTTCTAATAAGTAAAATAAAAAACATGGTTGGGAAAGTTAGTAAATAATTCTAACTGGTTTAAGGGAAAAATAAACTCACAAAGTAAAATTTGTCCTAAAATAAAATAAAAACTGAAATAAAATTTTTTCAAGTTTTGCCAATTTTACTCAAAATTGAGACCGTACTTGGGGTACTCTAAGCTACCCTGGCAACTAGAAGTTGCAAGCCAAGGCATCTGGTCACTAATTGTGTAACCACAGTTCAAAATTACTAATTTATAATTTAAACTAGCTGTACCCGCGGGCTTCGCCCCGTTTAACTTCATAAGTATTCGCATGGCTCATTCACGTCCTGGTTGAAGTTCGTTCGCTACGCTCACTCACCTTTAGGTTGGAGCTCGTTCGCTGCGCTCACTTGCCTTCAGGTTAGCTCGTTCGCTACGCTAACTCGCCTCCAGGTTGAAGTTCGTTCGCTACGCTCACTCACCTTTTGGTTGGAAATTAGCTGTTGTCATAAATTAAAAAAAAATTAATAGTGTTGCACCCTGTTGGTAATCCTTGTAACTTTTATGCTATTGCACATCATAGGACAGAACCAACTTATCTATATATATAATTCCGTAAGTCAAATTTTTGTAAAGAAATTGTGAGTGACTGGATGGCCGTAGAAGGATGGGAGGGGTCTTATTTTAAAGGTCTTGACGTGAATTTTGAGGGAAAACTATTCATTTTTCTTATTTTTTTACCATAAATTTGCAACAGAATAAAACTTTTCCGATTAAAACAACATGGGGTTTAATTTGTTTACATCTTTTGAAATTAAAACAGCTGTGCCACAGATTTGAAAACAGTGATCAATACACGCATTTGGTTTACTATGAAATGTATACTATAATAAAACTGAAATATTGAAGATTAGTCGGAAAAACGTCTGCATTCTTTGTTTATATTTAAATCATATACTCAAGTTTCATTTTTTCATGCTTTTACGTTGTTGTCTTGTTAAAGGAATAAACGACATAGAATAAATTCTGTATAAATAATCAAAGAGTCGAAATTAAATCTAACTTCTGTTTTGTTTTTATTTTTAAATCATATGTTCAAGTTTATTTTAAATGATGTTGTTTTCTTTATATTTCTACACATTTTAAGGTTAAGGTTGTGTAAATATATACAACTAAAATAACCTATAAATGTTATTGGTACTAAAATGGTGTATTTGCATTCCTTCGTAAGTAAATTTTTTTAGTGCAGTGAATATACAACGTAGAGTAATCATATTCGATCATACTTTTATAAAATCACCAGGGATTCAAGATGTTTTGGTATGTAGGCTGCTGGATATATATTCTGGAACTGTTCATAGGAATGACAGTGCGCGTAGGAGAGCAAGAGTAGATAATGACGAACTTAATCAAGATATGTTACAACCCCTTTTTAGGAGACCCATGGTAGACGAGAGAAATGTAAGATCCATGATGCAGGATTATTGGACCAAGAGTGCATTCGATGTAGTGCTCTTCATTTTAGAGAAGAACTAACGAATACGGTAATCATTTTATGACATGTTGCCATAACAGACTTATTAACCTTCCTCAGTCAAAAACTAATGTAGAACTTAAAAGTTTGTTTGAAGAGAGCCCACAACTGTATAAATTCAAATTCATTCGACAATGCAACAGTGCGATGGCTTTTGCTTATTTTTCAGCCAGTAAGAAAGATATTCCAGGAAAAGGACCATACTGTTTCAAAATTCAAGGACAGATTTATCGTTCAATCTCAGATTTGCTGCCTCAACATGATGAAGACAGTATGGGCAATTGTACATTATTGACACATCAACAGCAACAGAAATTCGTCAAAGGCGTCGAGAAAATAGTGACTTAAAACCTGAAATATTGTAAAAACTAGCTGAAATTCTATTAGAAAATCCATTTGCACAAATTTACAAAAGAGCTTCGGAAGAAATGGTTGTACAAGGTGACAGTGAATTAGAACTTAGGTTTGTAGACAGGATAAATATGGATCGTCGTAGGTATAATAAGCCTACTGCAGATGAAATTGCAGGCGTCTTCAATTCATCTGAAGGCGAACCTCCAATGAATTTTTAAAATTCCAAACAGGGAAGCTTTTATTTATCCTCTCCTCATTAACCACAAGACCAAAGCTACCTTAGTAAACCAGTATTTATTCATAAACAATGATATGTTTGCTGCCTTTTCATGTTAAACCACTGGAGTGATTCAAATTATTTGATATCAAATTAATCAGCCTTGACACCTTTAATATGCTATTATAGATAATAATCTACTTACGTATCACGTATGCCAGTAGGTGTCAATTATTAATACTTGATATGCTGTACATGTTTCAAGCCTAAATACGGCTCATCTTCAGCAGCATTTTTCTATGTACAATTTTCACATCGAGAGATGATTGTCGACTATATACAGACCACATATACACACAAACACAGAACGTTTTAGCATGCTATTTTTATTATTTACATGTGTTTTTGTAGCGTACGCTCGTTTAGACAATACCCGACCGGACGACATTTGTAGGCCTACTGAGGAACACGAATACGAACACGGGAGGGGGAGAGTGACGTCACGGTATCAGCTGACTGGTGGTTGTCATTTCCAGTTTTGTTATCTACATCGTAATACAGCTGATAGGTGATTTTGTCCGAATATTCCTCTCTCTATGTTAAATACGAGAATGTTATTCTGAGTTTGTTTAAATACCGGTATTGCAAAAAGTTGTTTTACATTTGAGCTTTTTAGGGACTTATGTCCCTACAAGCCACTAGTTTAATTCAAACAGCTGTTAAGATTCATTAATTCCTTTTAAATATGAAAACTCATAAGATTAACATGGGGAACTCCAGAGCCACTGGGGCGGAGCCCGAATGGGTTTTTGAGATAAGAATATGCTTTAATGTTAATCGGGAATGTGAGCTATCATCATGCCAAATTTCAGCCCAATCCGTCCAGTAGTTTATGCGTGATTGAGCAACAAACACACACACAAACATACACACAAACATACACACAAACTCACAAACTTTCAGATTTATAATATTAGTAAGATGATTTCATTCATATTTTAAACCACACATCAAAACAGTCTTCAGCTGACGTAGCATTGTAGCAATAGGTTAACAAGTCTACTTGCAGTACCTATGATGATGGAAATCTATTTAAATTAAAATCTGATAAAATGATTTAGATAAAGTGCTAACAATGAACAATTATTGTGTCATCTAGCTAATGGAAAATAATCATGGATTGTCATTTTTTCAGGGTTTTCTATTTTGACTCCAAACTCGGTGAAGTGAGTCTTTTCCAAACCGTTAAGAACGGCTGTTGCTGCCTGTTACGTGTGAGTTGGTTCCAACATGACTCCCAGACTGTGGTGGTGACTGCAGCTACGGACGGCTGTGTCACGTTCTGGCAGTGGCCAGAGTGTGCTGTGATCTGTGAGGACACTATACATCAGTCTGGGGTCAATGGACTGAGTGTGTCATGTGAGGACGGGCGAGTGGTAGTGGCCACTGGAGGAGATGACAACTGCGTAGCCGTCAGTGTCTACGATGTTGCTGCATCACCGACACTGAGCTTGCGGAAGGTTGATAGATGGAGTAACTCTACACTACACAGTTCTGTTGTCACAGGTAATTGTTTAGCTGGCTTCAGATAAGACTTAATTGGTTATTTAGCTTGGGGGAGCGAGGTGGTCTAGTTGTAGCATTGTATTTTTGGAGTACCTTTGGAGTATTTTTTAATGGATAGAGTTCAGGTAGCTTACCTGAGAAGATACAGAATTTAGGGTTACATAACATGATAGTCCAAATTTAATTTTCTCAAGTTATTCTATCACAGATAAAAACTAATTTATGCCAAACCACAATAGCAAGTTGTATGTGTGTCGCAGGGGTTACTATAGTGGGAGACAAGATAGTGTGTTGTGCTGGGGACCAGAGAGTCACTTTGCTGTCTTGGAGAATCATTGAAGACTGCGTCAATGTACAAATACTAGCCCAGTACTGCTGCTCTGTACCTGACCTTAAAGGATTGACTCTGTTAGCTGTAGACAGGTAAATACTAAATACCCTGTCTGACCACAAGTCAAATCATATTTCCATACTCTTCTACCTATTTAATTAACCCTTTGCGGTTGAATGGCAAGTATAGGTCGCCGCCCGCCTTTTTCCTGACTGCTCAAAAATGGCTACCTATAAAAAAAGTTTATCATTGCGGTTGAATGGTGAGTATAGGTCACCGAGCGCCATTTTTCCGACTGCTCAAATGAGGACTTATACTCACTGAAAAATGAAAAAAATTGACCTCAAATTTTGTAAACTCAGTTACCACTAAGTCTCAGTTGATCAAGACAGTACAGATAAAAATCAAGTTTTTTATATCACTTTTTTGCCCCTTGAACTTTGGTGTGCCAATAACAGATTTGATTCCTAGCATATCCTCAAAATGTTCAAGTGTAGAAGCGCTTTCTCAAGTGTTTGAGTTTCTTGTCCCTTAGTAAAATCTATGCTAAAAGTAACCAAAATATGTATGTCTCTAGTGTTGATACTGAAACAAATCAAAGATATTAGTTTTTTTTAGAAAATTATATGTTTTAACATTAATATTTTTTTTAAATTGAAACACAGAATCTTTTTACTGAATAACTTACTATAGGTAGTAGAACCGGTTGTTTTACCGGTTGTTTTTTGTATATTTTACTTATAGGCTAAAATACCAAAATAACTTTTTTAGGCAGAACCTGACTTTGGCTGTCTATGGCGACGGCATGGAAGTTTTGGAAATCAAAGAAGAAAGCTGACATTCAATTTTGTAATTATTATTTACCATTACACAATTTGTACAGAAATAAATTTAATTACGCTTTTTTACCATGCATTTTCCTGCACCATCATAAGCCTTAATCACTGATGACGTAGAGGTAGTCAAAGAATGCTGATAATGTCTCTGTTGGTACTGTAAGACCTATATGATTCAATGTTAAATGACCTATACAGCCATGTAACGACTCAAAGTGCTTGTAACATACACAAGGTCATTTTCGATGGGTGTAACCACGGACATTCACAAGATGATTATTTGAATGTTTTGACTTGGCCAATATAATTACATACGTACCCTAAATGGCCAATACCAAGAGTAGGCCTATTCAAGGTTTTAAGTCTGCTTTACGTGTGTATTCATGCCGAATTGTTAGAATTCTGTCTAATTTAAAAGTTTATTGATAAGCCACTTAATTGATTAATAAACTGGTTATTTACTCAAATTACATTGGTAAACAAATTGATACCAAACAAATAAATAAACTTGAGTTAAAGAAGGATGCAAAATATGAAGGAGTTTTTTAAGGGACAGAGCTCAGAATCATTGGTGTAGTGGAGTGGTATTTCTGTGGGAACTACATTCCCACTGCTTTATCGAATAGTCCTTTACATTAATCCTGTATGTCAGTCAGTTCTTAGACGATGGTGAGCGTCCCCTTCCACACTGATAATTAATGTTATAAAAATGTATGTAAAAATATAGGAATTAAATGTAAAAGTCAACATTGACTACATCACTGGGTAGCATAACGTCAGAAAATAAGAGTCCAAACTTACAAATATTTATCCTATTGTAGGACTTATCAGAGTAGGTTCAAGAGATTTATGGATTGTAGAAAGGATGTAGTTAGAGTCAAGAGTATGATGACCTATATATAAATGGGTCAGACAACTTTAACCAAGGCAAAGCTCATCAATTACTAAATACTCATAATTAAGCTGGAAAAATGAATCTGGTCAATGCTGTCAACAACTTTACAGTTTCTTTACTCATAACAATTGAAAATCTCGTACGGTACAAAGAAAACTGTCCTATGTCTAAAAGCCATTTTGTGGTTCCAATTTAGCCTTTTGCAAATGGTGGAACTAACATGCATTTTAGAACCAAAACAGAGTTCATGTGATTGGCAAACCTACTATAAGTTAAAAGTATCTAGCTAGACATTTGTCAGCTAAAAGTGACAATATCCACTTTTTAGGCTACTTGGGAAGCAACATGCTTTGGGACTTTCCAAAATGAATTAAATACTCTCGGTGACATTTAAAAGTAACTTCTTCCTGTTTTCATCACCTTTTGAGAAACTACAAAATTTTATTTTTTTAAATCACAACTTTTACAGCATTGAAGCTTGGATAACAAACCAGCCTGAGAGCTACCATCCAATTCCCTCTAGCATTTTGCTATCAGACCTTAGAGATGTAAATTTTCAATAAAATCCTTCCTTCCCTCAACTCCAGCAGACCTGTCAAACAAGCTGATTTTAAAAATGGACACAACTGATTTGGTATAGCTAAAGAACTTGATCAATCTTACTTATTTCAATTAGAATGTGTTTGAGATTAAACTACTGTAAAAATCTTTGTTCTTTCATTGAACTAATGGCAAAACACCCTGTCGTTGATATTTACAATCTAATTAAATCCTCTTTCCTTTTGCGTCTCCTTAACTAAGCAAAGACTGGAAAAAATATCAGGGAAACAGGTTAAAAACAGTAGAACCCCTCATATCCGGCCTTGGTTTTACCGGTCCTCTGTTTATCCGGCCCCTTCCAGGAAGCCAATATCAACATTTTTTTTCTCACAGCTTACAGACGTTTTTGTCTTTGTGACTGTTCAATCATAAAATAAATTGTTCTCATTATTTATCTGTTTGTTTATACATTTATTTGCTGAGTCACTATACTTAGTTGAGCTAGTAGGCCTTACCTCTGATGAGTTGGTTGATTATTTCCAAAGTGGGGTTAGTACAGTACAGTATGAGTACATTAATTTTTGTATTTCACAAAATGGTTATGAATGTTGAGTAAAAATGCATGTACCATTTAAGTCCTAATGATCTTTAAGTACAATTTATTGTCACTTTTACCTCCATTTAATAGGTTTTGTTACCTGGAATCATAATATTTGTACATTCATTACTTAATGACTTTAACCTACAAATATTTTCTTTCTTTTTACAAACATGTTTATTTTTCTAAAAATGATCCCATGACAGAATTAAATTATACTTTTGATTGCATATATTGATTACCTATTATTATTAGGTATGAATTATCATTTTCACAGTAGGTTGGTTTATCCGGCCAAATCGTCATCCGGCCAAATCGTCATCCGGTCAGGGGCTTGGTCCCGTGGTGGCCGGATATGAGGGGTTCTACTGTATTTTTGGGAATGCAAAGATGGTTTCGTCTTCAAACATGAAACCCAAAATATTTATCTACTAGAATGTTTAGGGACTATGCTTTCCAAATGAGATATCCATCCTCATACTTGCAACAAGTGGCATAGTAGAGCAAAACCGTGTGGGAATCCACTGCTTTTTCCAAAGAACCCATTATTGATAGGTGACCTACCCATGGTGAGGGTCCCCTATGACTACAATACTTCTTACAGCCTGGAACAATTTGGCAACATTAAAATAGCATAGTTGAGGTTAAGATGTTTGATGGGTGTCAAAGGTCAGTCATTAAGTGTCCACAGTTGATGTTTGCCCTCTTCAGCTCTTATCAGCAGTTGTATCTGCCATCTGGCCTTGTGATAGTATATCAGATCGCAACAGTCACTCGGGCCTTAACCATGTGAGTAACACATCACTGTTTACATTTGAGGCTTAGGCCTACTGATTAGGGTAAGATGTTTTTTGTCAAAGTATGAACACAAAAGTCATGATTACATTGGTATAGAGTTTCAAATTGATTTCCAAATAAATATTTTATCTACATATGTTTTTTCAGTACATATAACCAGGAATTCATTTAGGAACTCCCAAATATTAAAACAATTCTCAACTGTTTGAGAATCGAATCACTTTGATTTTAAAATTCTTGAGTGAGTGCAAATATTTGGTCCTAACAACTTGGATCCAGCACAAAATCCTACTAATATTAAAAATGAGAAAGTTTGGATGTATGTATGTTTGTGACAAGTAAACGCGAAAAATACTGGTCGGATTGGGCTGAAATTTGGCATGATGATAGCTCACATTCCCGATTAACATATAGGCATATTCTTTTTTCAAAAATCCTTTCCGGCTCCAACCCAGTGGCTCTGCAGTTTCCCATGTTAACCTTATGAGTATTCATATTTAAAGGAAATTAAAGAAACTTAGCCAGCTGTTTCAACTAAAAGAGTTGGTTCTATGATATGCAAAAGCATTAAAAAGATACAAGATTTACCAACAGGGTGCAGCACTATTATTTTTTTTCATTATTTATAAACATAGCTAATTTCAACTAAGCAGCAACAAAAAACTGTGATACGCAATGAGAACTGTCAAAGTAGTGTTTACAGTTTTTTACAGTTTTTTTTTTATTTCATGAATAATTTGTGATATTTTGCGAATTTTTAATAATTTATCTTTCTCTATTGTGTAAGTGAAGTGGTAGAACATAATAGCTATGGTAGATGTGTAATACTTTTGTAATTCTATAGCATACCGTAAATTTTAGGAAGCTAATTTTCTCAAACCGTGTCTTTCTCACGCAAACGCAAAGATCGAGTATAACTGCAATAAGCATTTTATACTTATATGCCAACCCCGTACAAAGGACGGGTACTCTGCTAGTCCTAAATAAAATAAGACAATAATAGGTTGTTTTTTTTTTACATACCTACGTCAAATAGTCTAACGATTAAAATTGCACATCAGCTTACATGTTTTGTTGCATAGACAACATGTTATAAATAAATAAATAAATAAAAATGTCTTTATTCAGCGTTTCTCTGGTGAGCAGTTTGTTCAAAGCTTGCAACTTGTCAAAAACACAATTAAAACACGGACGACACAGAACACAAAAATCATTAAAATGGTACGAATACACAACAAACATTTATGTACAAATGCACAAATGGTGTTCGTACCGTTTTAATGTTTTTTGTGTTTTTGTCGTCCGTTTTTTAATTGTGTTTGACGAGTTGCAGGCTTTGAAAAATTTGTCTGCGCAACAAAACATGTAAGCTGATGTGCAATATTAATCGTTGGACTATTTGACGGAGGTATGTAAAAACCTATTATTGTCTTAACAATATAGTTCAGGGGCCAGAAACACTAATTTTGACTAAATAGAATAACAATAACTAAAACAAAAGTTTTGATTAAGTTGAAGACTTGAACTGAAGATAAGAGACCATAAATTTTAACTTTTTTTACAAGTAATTGTACATTGTCTTATCTTATTTTAATAATTTACAATCCCTGCATTCTAAGATTTATGGATTTCAAACAAGTGGTATAAAAATAATAATGTTCTTCAAATCCCCTCAGCTGTCACCCTTAACAATTTGACGTTGAGAAGACATTTAAATTGCAAATCTTTTAAAAGCCACCCAAGGTAAATGATATTGGAAACCAACCCCCCTCCTCTTCCGATCAGAATGACTCTTGAAAATGTAAACTTAATATCCAGCGTGATGATTGATATCTACAAATTTGTTTTTATCATTTAATTTTAGCTAACTAATGCTTAATAGGTATATCAATATTTTATACTTAGGATTTGTTAATTGAAGGTTCATGATTATGTATTGTTGATTCTAAATAAGATTGAAATCATTTTTAATTAGGTTTCTTAGAAAATTTTCACTTGAAAAAAATACATCCAATACAATAAAATATGTTTTAATGTAGCCTACCGTGAATATCCATAGGAAGTCCCAAGGAAACCCCCAAAATGCATTTGTTTGTGTGGGATAATATGTGTAATATCCTAGAGTCCTAGGGTCATTCTCAAATCCTGGGATCTCTGTGGGATGTGTGGGAAATGGTCAGGATATCCTGGAAATTTCCTGTGCTCCAGAAAAAAAATTAAAATGCTCTAGAATTGCAGAAAGAAACACATAGATTTTTGGAGCTACTAGCTTCAGTAGTAGAGTATTTCCATGAGTTATACCTTTGACTATTAATACAACAAAATTCTATAACTAATATTTACATTAAATAAAATACAAAACTTTGTGGTTTTAGCTTACAATAAAAGGAAAATAATACATTGATTAATTAGAAGACTATAATACACGTTTACCATTATGGTGAGTAAAGGATCTCTGAGAATGGACAGATAGTCCCCTGTCAAATGTACATATACAGGCTCCCGTGTGCTCCTTAATGAGGCAGGTGTGGGAGTAGTCTTAATCTCTTCGTTTGACCTTGGAGGAATACAATTTCGATGGTGGCACTCTTGAAAATGGTGCGTTTGAACGCTGTAGGAAAAAAACAAAATGGCCGCCGTCGCAAACTTCTTTTCTTACTTATATCAGTAACCGTTAGAGTTATGAAAGAATTGTTGATACCAAAATGTAGCTATTTTAAATCTGCACAAAAAAGATGATTAAAGTTTTTATGTAGGATACACCATTCTTTCATAAAACATAATTTTATATTTTTCATAAATAAATTAATCAGGGTGGAAGTAAGGTCCCCCCAGGACAGTTAATTATTTCAAAAAGAAATAAAGAGTGTTTCAGTAAAGCGTAACGGGCTATGCAGATCCAGATTCTATGTGCAAAAATAAGTCGAAAATTTATTATAACATTTTTTCGATTTCGGCTTAGTTTAGCCGTAATCCGCAATTTTGTATTTTTTGAAAATATATCATAATTCAAAAACTCTTGGAGATATTTTTATGAAACTTGGTATAATCTTTCAGTCTACAACTATAAACATTCTCCGAAAAAATCCTTGATCAGGCTCATCGAATTTCAAAATGGCGGCCATTAAAATTTTTTAAAGTCAAATTCCATGAAAACCAGCAATTAAAACCAAATTTTGAAACGCAGTATTGTAAACTCCTTTTTATTACAAATCGAACGACACTTTATTTGCGAAAATCGGATAATAAATAAAAAAGTTATGTAACTTTTATTATGTTTTTGTCACTAGTTTCTATGGAATTTAACTTTGTGATTTCAAAATGACTGCCATTTTGATAATTACTATTAATAATAAAAGTAACATAACTTTTTTATTTATTATCCGATTTTTGCAAATAAAGTGTCATTCTATTTGTAATAAAAAGGACTTTAAGTAATGTGTTACAAAATTTTGTTTTAATAGCGGGTTTTCATAGAATTTTACTTTAAACATTTAAATGGCGGCCATTTTGTTTTTTACCCACAGCGTTCAAACGCACCATTTTCAAGAGTGCCACCATCGAAATTGTATTTCTCCAAGGTCAAACGAAGAGATTAAGACTACTCCCACACCTGCCTCATCAAAGAGCACACGGGTGTACATTTGACAGTGGACTAAGAACTAGATATTTTATTCTGTTACAGTTGTTGTCAGTTTTCGTATAAAAATCAATGTAGTTGAATACGCCTAGTTTCTGATATCTATATCGTCTTGTACTGTATGCCACATCAACCACAAATAAAATTTAAGGAGAAAATGTAGTTCTAGTCATTTTGTAAGAGGCTCATCAAGAAAAATTTTGGTAATCATACAAAATTGCCGGTCCATACATGAGATGTCTACTTCATTAACTTATCCACAAGTCAATGGTATGATGTAATACTTTAAACTAAGTCATACACCTTTTGGTGTAACGAAGGGCTTTCATATTCTAAATAGATGTTCAACATAGATGTAAATAACATCCTGGTTACCTATTAGCTTGTAAACAAGTAGCTAGTGGTACTTAGCTTAACTTCAGTTCTCAGTTAACCTCCATTAGACCACAAATCGTTATCATGTTTTTAAAAATCCCTGGAATGGTTTAAGATAAGAAAAAAATGTTTCATGTTTAATGTAAATAGAGCAAGGTACTCTAAATTTTGTTTTTGCATTTTTCAATTCTAATAAGTAGCACAAGGTCTAATAACGTTTACATTTTAGATTTTCAATAATCCAAGGAATTTATTACAATAGATTCTCACTTGTTGAAAAATTACTATAACATTTGAAATTACATTAATTTTTTAGACCAATCTGTGTGTAGTGGAAGAACAGAAACTGAAAATGACACTTGTACCTTCAACTCCGAGCGAGAAAGCAACTTTGAGGCAATATTTGGCGGCAATCACTGGTAATGTATTTCTTGTAATGTCAAAACTTTAGTATACATCATAAGTAAGAAACATAGTATACACAATGCTTAGTGTTTTAATTTGTACCTTAACTTTTACGGGATTATTCAATTTCTTCTATATTCTTCATTGAGTGTCTGGTAGCAAAATCATAAGCTCGGAAAATTCTTTTTTCGTTTTCTAGATATGTGGATCTAGAGTTTTAGGTCGGTTCCAATCCACTACATCATTATCTTGTAGCTAAAAGTCATTGGCAAGTGACACCCTTAACTGTGATCCTAGACGTAATACTCTATATGAAAGGGACACAATTCTGGTGTATCAATTTAAGTAAGAGTTAATCCTCATGTAGCTCCTTTGTTAACAGTGATCAGTCCTCTCTTCCCACAATATCATATTTATGAAAATCACAAGTATCAAGGACAGTATAGGACTTAGGACTTAGGAAAATTATAAACTGCCGCTGACTATTCTCAGGTTTGAACCGGTTAACTTCTGATGATGAGGTGATCATTTAGCCCTTTCTCTAATCAGCTGTAAAGGACAGTCTGTGCCCTTACCCCTAGATGATCCATGCCCTCTAGCAAATTAAGATCATAATAAAAACCAAACCATCTCCATACTTGAATACCCTGATGGTGATAAAATTAAATTCTGTCAAAAAACTTAAACAAATAAGTAAATTTTAATGAGCTAAGCAAAAAGTTAAAGTTTAGTAACAATAATGTAACATTTAACAAATCAAACAAACTAATGTGTGGTGTTTGCCAGTTGTTTGTGGTTTTGTTAGTTTATGTCATGACATGTTTCACGAACAGATGAGAATCAAGTAAATGTTTCAATCTCCTGATGAACTGAGTGCGCTTACGGTAAAGTTTCGCCTGCTCGGGACACATGTGCCGGCTAAACGTCTGTCTCAAACTTTTCTACTAAATTACTTCCATGTGCTGTATAATGTTTAACGAAGGAACATTTACATATTATAAAATGCAGTCTGCTTAGATAATAATAATTACTCGCACATTACTATGTTAATAGAGTTTAATTTTAGTTATTAAAAAATAATAATTTCATATCAGATTGGTTATGAACAAATATTTAAATGGTTTAGAGGTAAATGAAATGTTGTTCAATGTTCAATTTCACCTTTTTGATTGAAATAAAATATGTTCTGTGGCTTGTGTAGTAATTAACAAAATAATATAATTTGTATATTTTTTCAAATGAGACGTTTAGATGGCTCATTGCCCTGCCTAGAGTATCCGTCGTCTCCTTTATCACTAGACTATGAAATAATAATAGACCTACTTTAATTCTTATATTGTTTTACTAGTGACACTTGGGATGATGGTGGTTGGAGAGACGTTTGGATGGCCCTCCCCCACCTTGCCCCTCCTAGAGGACCCGTCGGCCCCGCTACACCTTGATCACTCCCAGATGGCATGGGTCGTGTCTTTACTCTACATGGGGAATCTCCTCAGTCCCATACCCACTGGTTGGCTTATGGACCGTTTTGGGCGTAAGAGGTGCCTCATTTATGATAAAAGATATTTTAAAATGTTTTGATCCTATACAATTTTGACCAATTAAATATAATGAGCCATTTGAATGAGTAGGTGTCAGAATTTTAGAAATATTAAAAGTCCTTCAACCCTAGCGGCCATCTTGGATGATTTCAAACAGCTGCTGAGGAGTTAATTATCATCCAAAAATATTTGTTCAAACACCAAAGTGAATATAATTGAAATATCTAGGACACTGTGAGATTAAAAATTTTGTTTGTCCAAGGGTGTCCATGGAAGCCAACGATAATCTTGGATTTGTCCGCCATTAGAGCAATGTTAATTTAAAACAGCCGCTGAAGAGTTCCTAACATCTTAAAATATTTTTTCAAATACTGAAGTGTTTGTTATTTAAATATCTAGTGGACTGTGAGATTAGAATTTTTCTTTGTAGTTTTTGAATTGTTTTATGAGTTAAACTGTTTAGGCTCCAACGACTCTTAATACTGATGTATGTTTAAGTACCGTACAGTAATGTGAATAGGTGAAATGAAAATAGGTAATTTTCAGAACAGATTGTTTGATAAGTTCTACTACTCCTTAGCGATGTGCCTTAGGTACTATAATCTCTTCACAGTGCTGCTATCCTAAACCCTCCCATGTTCCACAGGTCCCTGATTCTCTTGTCAGTGTTGCCACTATCCTCCTGGACTTTGATCCTGCTAGCCAAGCGTCCCCTGCATCTCTACATTGCCCGTCTGCTAGCTGGTTTCTGGATCGGAGTGGTAACAACTATTGCTCCCATCTACATCGGAGAGATCGCTGAACCTAGAATCCGCGGTGCTCTGGGAAATTTCTCCTCACTCATGACCTACGTTGGAGACTTGTTTATTTATTTGGTGAGAATTCATTTTGCGTTGTTTTGCCTTTTAATGTATCAACTAATGAGCTGATAAAGAGAAGGTTATAAATTATGTGCTGAAGAAACAGCTAATTTAAACTAAAAAGCAAAGCTACAATGTTTATGGTTAGGATATGCATAATCTCACTTAATACTGTACTTGTCTTTCAATCATATCTGGATAAAAATATGCCAAGGTCTACAAACACAGATATAGTGAGAAACATGCCCTTCTGCTATACACTCTAAAAAATGGATCTAAAACTTGTTTGAATTCATTAGTCAAAAAATGTCAGTATAGGGACTTAGAATCTCCAAGAAGGTTAATACAGCCTTTGTCAAATCCATTACAACAATGAAGTCCGAACTCACAACAGATGTTGTTCCCAGGTTGGGCCATATGTCTCCTACAGCACGCTCGCCCTTGTCGCAGGCAGTGTGCCGGTGATCTTTCTGTTGACCTTCTCCTGGATGCCAGAGTCCCCCTACTACTTCCTGATGCAGGGAAAGAAGGATGAGGCCCGAGAGTCCCTGCGGTGGCTACGAGGCGACGCAGGGAAAGGCGAACTGGAAACAGAGATAAACAAGATGGAAGAGAACGTGAAAAGTCAGATGCAGAACAAAGGCACAATGATGGACATCTTTGCCACTCATGCCAACAGGAAGGCTTTCTTCATTGTTGAAGTGAGTAGGTTGGTTGTTGTTGAGTTTTATGGTAGGCCCATACATCTTGTGTTACTCTTATGCAATTATGTAATATAGATAGGAGTTAGTTATCACAGTTAACGGGTAGTTTTGATTGTCAAATTGCTCTAATGCTATGAGAGATTATTGCTAACGATTAGTATAAATCGTAAGAATTGTAAATTCACTGTATATGTACTAAGCCAACAGGAAGGCTTTCTTCATTGTTGAAGTGAGTAGGTTGGTTGTTGTTGAGTTTTATGGTAGGCCCATACATCTTGTGTTACTCTTATGCAATTATGTAATATAGATAGGAGTTAGTTATCACAGTTAACGGGTAGTTTTGATTGTCAAATTGCTCTAATGCTATGAGAGATTATTGCTAACGATTAGTATAAATCGTAAGAATTGTAAATTCACTGTATATGTACTAAGTAATAAATAAGTAAATAAATAAGTTTTTACAATGTTATGGAATCTGAAATCTCATCCTGCTCCTAGGTGAGAAAGTATTTTAAACATAACAAGATAAACAAATCCACTTAAAGCAGAAATAAATGTCTTACAGACCACTATTGGTCAAAATGATATACAACAAAATATTGAAGGAAAAGAACAATTAGTATAAATAAGAGGGTAGGCAATCATCCCCCAATCCCTAAAATAACATAAACTGAACATCAAAAAGTGAACTATAAAGAAAACATTGTTCTGACAGTAAAAAAAAATCAATATTTTATTTTGTTTTATTTCAACCAATCAGAAATAGAATGTAAATAAAGAGAATTTGGGTGAACTTTATTTATCTTAACCATGTATCAGAATATTGTTTCTTAAAGCAGTCAGATACTATGGTTCACTAAGTGCTTGGATTTAATTTTTTATATGAGATTTATCCAGTCCTTAAATATTCAGAGGCCAAATTTAGAAAGGCTTTTCAAATGCCAAAGGCACGATTAATTACAAAAACTGCCTTATGATTACAACAAGCCTCTCATTTGTATCAGGTCTTAGCCGTGTGTGTCAAGTTCTCTGGGACTGGTGTGATGATGGCATTCGCTTCAACAACTCTGCCCAAAGATGCCTTCAGCTCCTTCGGTCCCAGTGAGTGTGTCATAGTCCTGGGTATCACCTGGGTCTCTTCAGCCATCTTGTCTATGCAGGTAGTAGATCGGAAACAGACGCATGCGTATTATTTAAATTTAAATGAACTGAATGAGTTTAAATCAGTTGGGGTATGTTGCTAGTACTGTATAGTGTATAGTTGTTATTTTTTTTTTTACTTTTTAAGAGAGTGATCGATTCAATCCTAGACTTTTTTTAAATTGAGAAGTTTGGCACTCTTTCTCCTTGGGGAAAGGCGATTGAGCCTATCCCTTGACAAAAGGAAAAGACCTCTGGCATAATATTTTTGTTTTCAAATAGTCTAGTGTCATAATTGGTTAAAATAGTTCCTATCCAATAGAATAATTCTGTAACAAGCTTTTTCAAAACTAATTAATATTTCTCCATCAAAACTATTCCATTATCTCTATCAAAAAATTCTCTAACAGTAGTAAAATAGTTTAATAACTAGTGCATATTTTACTTTATTTTTACTTTTCCTGTCGCATCACAAGGTAACTAAAGACGTCTAAAGGTAAGTCAGCTAATGAGGAAAAAATATAGGCTACACATCTTTAAAAAGTCGTACCACCCTGTATCCTTTTATAATAAAAAAAAATCAAAAAGTACATGTTCATTTAAAAAAAATGTATTAAAAAAAATTTAAAATAAATTAACTCTATGTTTTTAGACTAGTGACCTTAAAAAAATTATACCCAATGAGGACAAAATATGAACTGTATAACTTGCTTGAAACCAAAATGAATTCAACTGAAGTTCATCCACAAATAAAACTACTGATCAAATTACCAACGCAGTATTTGTTGTCAGCTGGTTGACCGACTGGGGCGTAAGGTGCTGCTCTCTGTATCCTCCTTCGGCTGTGGATGCGCTGTACTGCTAGCTGGTGTCTGGTTCTACCTGGACTCTGCCACCTCCGTGAACGTCCGAGGAGTCAGCTGGGTCCCCTTCACGTGTTTCCTACTACACGCTCTGCTCTACTCCCTTGGACTGGGACCGATCGGCATGGCCATCAAAGGAGAGGTGAGAAATGTATTTACATTTTGAATGCCAATGTCTCAAGGAAAGTTGTATGTTTAAAATATTGATTGCATCAAAGGAGTGCAATTTCATTGATACACTTGTAAAGTCAGATTGATTATTAGTAATTTAGACTTAGGGGCATAGAGGTGGGGGTTGGAGTGCAAGACTTTTCTCTTGGTGGTCTGATATTAATATTGGCTAGATATTGCGAATTACCAATGACTTAACTAAGGGAAAATGTTGTCACCCTATGGTTCTAGCCAACCTTAAAATCTCTAGAAAACCAAAGACAACTTTCATTATATTAAAGAGATAAACCTAAGTTATTTAGTATTGCAGTGTGATTGATTATTATGAACAAAAAGTGACAATACAGAATTTGTGTTTCTAAAGAAAAGTTAACTTAACCGGTGTTAAGGTAAATAAGGTAAATAGGGTAAATGAGGGTAGATAAAATTAAATTATTTGAAAAAAGGGCTATAAGTTCCTGCAATTTTTAATTAAGATTATCATATTGTCTTTTGTTAGTCACCTGATTAGCCACCAGAGTTACTTAAGGTATTCAAAAGTTAAACATTATTGTTAGTTTATTCTAAGATAAGTTGCTGACCATTTCGTACATTTTTTGACAACTACTGTAACAATTTAAATGCAATTTTTTCACATTTAAAACATTTATATTTAGTGTAATGAGAGTAATTGTGTTTGAAAAACATAAAACACACCTTGTCATGTTAAATTTCTTGACCCAACCAGGTTTTGGCAGCCAATATAAAAGCGAACGCCTCTGCCATCACGTCTATCGTTCTCGCTCTGTCCGCTCTGTTCCTCAACCGAGTGTATCTGTTCCTCGCAGACTCCATAGGGATGTATGTCAACTACTGGATATTTGCGGCCGCATGTTTCATTGCATGTGGCTTCACTCTGCTTGTCGTCGTGGAAACTAAGGGGAAGACGTTGCAGGAAATACAGGATGAGTTAGCCAGGAGAAAACCTCAGCCACAAGTAGAAGACGGCCTGTGATTAAAAGCGGAATCTCAATAATGTGTTTCATTTACTTCTCTGAATCAAATATTTGTAGACGGTACCTCGAAGTTGACATTTAATTCCCATGTTAGAGTCATGGCTGGTTTTAGAATGACAAGAACTTAATTCAATTGGCTACTGACAGAGTATGTAAAGTACCTCTTGAACTTAACACAAACTTTTATACTATGACAGAATGTAAAGTACTAACTGTTGTCTGTATGAATAAATATCCCACTAGTTTAAAATGAAAAACTAAAAATATAATTGTAACTGGAACTTTAATAGTATCATTCTCTTAGAGGCTCACCCAACTCTTTTATTAAACAGCTAACTGGCTACATGTTGGGGGGATTATAGCAAATATTTCACTCTGACATAATCCTCAACAATGCAGTCCGACTCTCAACAGATATAGGCCTATGTTAAATCTGATGAATCTCATGAAGATTCAAAATACCATATTCAAGAAATATTTGAATAGCTGCCATTTTTGACTCAGTTGCCCCTTTGAGTTCGGGTTTGTGGCATTGTATTTTACTATCAAAGACCTTTAATTTGATGTACATATCAACCTATAACCTATAACCTTAAAAATTGATTTCTGACTCCTGCCCCCTTGAGAAGGTATTGTATCACTAAATAATTAATTAACATTATTTTTTATCCAGTGACTTTGTTTCAAGTTTTGTAGCTGTATCTTGTAATTTTTTTTGAATATTTAACTACCCCCTGGACTTTTAAAGCGTTAAAGATGGTTGAAAAATTTATATTTTTAAGCTTCTGTAACCATTCACTTTAAATAGATAATTAAGAGGACCATTCTTGTTTAAGATTTTGTGTAAATTATTTTTGTATAGGACGTATTATGTACTAAGAAAATGCATAGTTTCTGAGATATCCAATAAAAACAAAAAAAGTGCAATTTTTCCAACCTCCCCCCCACTGTCCCCCCAAACCCGAGTAAAAATAAATAAGTCATTCTCTTATTCAAGTTTATAACCTAACGTGGTATCCTGTTTTATAAATTGAAGCTAACAGGTAATTTTTTCTTTCGTGCTATTTTGCATAGCTTTCAATTTACTTATGCAATCTATTTTGATTATGGTGTATCATATCAGTTTTTGAATAGTTTGCAATTTCTGTTTTAATTATAAACATAACTGCGGAACTAAAATATCCCCGATTCCAATGGAGAAATACAAACGTTCTGAATCAGTGAGGAGTAAATGGTCTGGAACTGATTTGCTAATGGATCTGCGCTGACCTCAGAATTCTGGCATAGATCATAAATTCCCAGCTTCAATAGCAGGGTATTGATTCTGTTTAAGAAAAAGAATTATAAGCACTTTCTTTCAAACTACCAACTAGATAGCGTAATTAGTCTTATAAATTACTGGAAAGAATTTACAGAGTTAAGACCAGTAGGTAATTGCCTTTCTATAAAAGAAGAGATACAATTTCAGATGTATTTATTCATAATTACAGCTTGATCTCGTTAGGTTAACAAAACCTGCCAGCGAGGTCCAATTAATGGTAAAAAATTATAAATGACATTTTTAAGTTTGTTCTGTTAACAAAAAAGTAAATGTACGTAAAAAATAACTGATTATACTAGCAAGTTTATCATTGTATTCGCTGTAGTTTTATGGAAAACTATCATACAAAATTCATAATTTTCATCCAATAAAATTATTACTTACGAGTTTAACACTCCCATGTGTATGTTTGTCAAACTTACCTAATGCTCATAAGTAAGTGTTGAACAAATCTGTCATGTAAGTCTTTTGGAATTAAAGTAAACTTTTATATACTCGTGAAATTTAAAACCGCTTCTCAAATATCTTTTCTGAAATGAATCAAGCTTAGGAGGATCACCGATTCATCCTTCAATCCCCTCCCTATTTGTCAACTTCAAATCTGATATTTACATGCAAGCATTTACTCATTTACTCAATTTGTTTAAAAAGGGATTTTAATTGATATCATAAATACAATTTTTTATTTCTAATTTGTGTATGTTCTATGTATGTGTTCTACACTGTGTTAAATCCCCCTTAATAAAACCAATATTAAGGCAAGTATGTAGAATTGTTTCTGCTTATATAAGTTAATTTTAATCTTTACTCTATTATCTTTTATAGTAGTCCGCCAGTAAAAATGTAGACTACTATACAGGGTTCATAAAGGTGTGTCACAAACTTCAGGGGATATAGTACTAATCAATCTAATAAAAGTTCATATAAACAAATTGGTGGCAATTTAAAACGTTAAACTTAAATTAGGCCTACTAACTAAAATATGGCTGATTTTATAAAAAACTGTCAAGAACACTCATTTAGCATTTAAAATTTTTTTATTAAACAGTATCAAGTTCAAAAAGATCGAATAAATTAGCTGAAATATCATGGGTTTTTTGTTTTGAAATGAGACAAACCTGACTAGCTCAGCCTTATTCTAGCCCATTTTTACAACTAAAAATCGTGATATTTCAGCTGTTTTTATTTGTTCTTTTTGAACTTGGGATCATTAGATAGGGAATCGAAAATACTAAATAATAGTCTCCTTGAATTCTTTTAATTAAATCAGCCATATTTTTGTAATTTTAGTTTAAAGTTTTTAAATTGCCGCTATTTTGTTAATTTAAAAGAAAATTACATAACTTTTTTTTTAATTGCCTCTTAACACAATAATTGAATGTGCAAAGTTTGGTTTCCTTAACTTGAATAACTCTTGAAATATAAATTGTTTTGTAAAAAATATAAAATGGCGGCTAGCAGCTAAACAAGTTTTATCGATCTATGTTTTATGATTTTTTTTTTTAAATTGATAAGTACTACCAGCCCCTGAAGTTTGCAACATCCCTTAATGAACACCCTGTATCTATCTTAAACTTTCAGACATTACTTAGGGTATGTGATTTAAACTCCGTTTTTCCTGCAGATTGTCAACAATAAAATTACCACGTATAAAAGTCTTAACTAAAGAAGACTATAAATAAAACCTTAGGCCAATATCTGATAGGATTTTTATGGCAGATTTTTCGTTAAGATCTAGGATTCAAGGTGAGATCAGATAGGTAACTCATGACAGAGAGACAAATAGTTGGGTTTATAAAGGTACGGTTATGGCTGGTCTTAAGGAAACAAATTTTTTACAGATAGAGAGAATTGCGGACAAAGAGATTTGAGTTACAGCCACTTTCAGTGCTTTTATAAAAACTAATAAAATTATATCCTGGGGAAAACCCCCATAATAAATTTGCTTTGTTCATGTTCCTTGAATTATATTGTTTAATTAGGGCTGATATAATGACTGTTAAATTATTTTGAAATGATAAATTTTGACGGTCATCTTGCCGCAAAACATGGGTAAATCTTTAGGCCGATATTGTTAAGCAATTAGTAAATAGTTATTATGCCCACAAAAAGGTTAGTTTTAAATCAAGTTGAGTGAAAATACGAAACAAAAAGATAGAATGTGGTTGCTTCAATACTAACAAATAGTGATGCAGACTACTTATTGTCTTCATAAAAATAGTTCTTTTATTTACTTGTTAAATTTATAAGAAGTAAAGCGGCGATGAAGCTGAAAAGTGAGTTAAGCGGGAAAATAAATCAGGCTTATCTGTTGGAAGCCAGTTCGTCTTCTTCTTGATTTGTCTGCCTGGGGCTTCGCAGACTTGCGTTCTTTGCAAAGTATAATTTTACCAATGGAGTAATCGATGTAGGGATTTTCTAGCCTGCGAGTCCAGGTTTTTACAATAACATAGTCAGTAATAATTTATTAGAACACGACAGTTTGGTGTAGCGTTTTGTAGTAACACTTGCCATGGCTTAAGTAGTAAATTGAATCAAGATAAAAATGAAGTTAAAACTTGTATACATTTTAAAAACAAACCCTAAATTTTTTAAATATTTGAAACATGACGCTAGATGCTGCATATTTGGGTCGGTGTTTCGCAGATCACCATATCCTTATGATCCTGTATAGCCGGGTTGCCATGGCAACCTACTAGCGTCAACGCTGCAGCATCGTTGGGGGCTAGCCAACACTTTCTAGACTTTATCCAACTTCGCGAATTAATTAATTCAGAGTTTACTTGAAGAAGAGTGTATTTAGATTATAATTACAGCACAAATTCAACATTACTTAGTTTTATTAAATTAAATTTTGTTTGTCGTCGACAACAAAAAGCCATTATGTGAAGTCTAGTAGGAGTTTGCAAGTTATGATTTAAAACGAGTAAAAAGAACTTAAGTTAAGAAAACACTAGACGAACTTCTGACTTGAGTTATTAACTAATAGTAGTTTGCAAATATTTGTAATTAAAATAATGTTGCTTTCCAGACATAGCTTCTGATTACATGTACATCGTTGACTTTATTTTGTATCAATGGCTAACACAATTTAACAAAATTGCACAATTATTTTGAATTGACTAAATATACGCACTGTAAAATTAGTCTTTTTACAAAACAATTTGAACAATTTAAAATATCAAAACAAAGTACAATTGTCGTTGTTTTTTGTTGATTAGTAGTTTATAAGATATAGTCTGCCACTAATTTATGTCTTCAGTCTTACCCCTTATTGTTGTTTGTTAGTCACAAATCTTGTTATTTTTGCTTGTTGATTGTCATTGAACTTTTTGATTTTTATGTACGATATTTTTGCATCAGTCGATTTTGAGTCCATTGTTAACCTTTTGTATTGTAACCAATCATGAATACTGGTATTTATTGTTTGTAAAACTCTTTCTTAATGGTCGTTATGTACAAAATTTAGTCTTATCAATGTCGAGTGTAGTATGCTTAATTTATATTCGCCGTTTCTGCTATCTTTGTTTTGACATGCATATTACAGTTTTCCGTAAATAAATAAATAACCTACAAACAATAGTTTACAATTTAATGGGGGAAACATCTATACAGTTTTGTAGTAGCCTATTTAGGTAATTTATGGGTTACCTAATATTAATGCTTGACAGTTTCAAGTAATTCCCATAGGCAACGAGGAAAAAATCTTATCAATTTGATTGAATTGTTGTCTGTAAGTATTGAACTGAATTAAATAAATCTTGCAAATATATGTCATAAAATCTTTAACCAAACAAGAATTTAGTCTACATTTTACAGAAAAGATAATAGGAAAACAGGACAAGTGAAAATTAGCTGCAAACTTTT